ACTTTCTATGGAGCTTTTTTTTAGACCAAAGGAATCCAGAACGAGAAGAATAGAGTGTAACAAACTTCAGTTTCTATGCCGATGAATGAACTAAGAAGTTCCATTGGAACGTATAGGCACATGAGCACCACTGGAACGTATAGGCACATGAGCACTTGTGGACCTGCTGCTTTTTACTCAGTTTGTTGCTAGGCTATTTTTCTTTCTACATGAGTCATTACTTCTACTATTCTTTGACTTCAGGATGGGTTTAGACTACTTTCCCCACCTCTAGTTGTAATAAGTTGTGAACATTACCAGGAACTCTCAAGACAAGTCAAGTTTTCCAGAAGCACTGCAGCATGTAGATCATTTTAACTGCCTTCAACGTGATGTTCACTCAGCTAACTCTGCCATCTTTATGATAATCTTTGTGTTATGACGCTTTTCAGGAAACTGGACCCCGGGCAAGCCCCTAATTTCTCAGAATTTTCCCCCCACTGGTTTTCTATGGCTGCTGAAACGGGCATAAATGCATCTGCGTCTAGCACTCCATCATACAAGTTAATGACAAGCCAACAGGGAACAAGGAAAGAACATGAAAAAGAGCCAAAGGGGTGATTAGTAACATAACAGCATGGATCAATAAACTTAATTATGCGTTACATATTAGCAAGTGTTTGAAGTTCATTTGTTTAAAAGTTTCTTCCAGCATTAATATGTAATGACAATTTAATGTAGCAGAATGTGTTTCACAATACCAAAAACAGCCTTCGGTGGCACATTTCATTCTCTAATGTGTCTACAGTTGTTTACGGTACAGTTTTATGAACAAAAAGTACTGACACTAGTCTACAGTGATATAGTGTCTGTGAAACACTGATGTCTTTATCTGTAACTGCAGTGTTGGGAGTGGGGAACTCCCAGGACCTTCTAGGCCTTCAGAGAAGACCTGATGGTTTCTGTGAAATACAAAAAAAAAGTTGTTCATTTTTATTTGATAGAATCATTATGGTTGCTATATTTAAGCTCTAAAAGTATTTTAATGCTACTCTGCTTTCTTTGTCAGACTTGTGTTAGGTTGGAAACAAAAGGGTTAAATTCCCAATGGAAAGATGTCCAATCAGAAGTAGTCTAGGTAGATACGGCCAAGCGAGCTCTCTCAATGGCTAGGACTTCAGAAGCTGAACTGAAGGCCTAACGTGCCAGATGATCCACTAACATGATTAGGAACTGAGAGTTGAATCAACCAGACACTGTTTGATTTCCAGTGGGAACAATTTCATGAAAAAAAAATCACTCTAGGACTTTCCAATCAAAACATTGGTAGCAGCTATATGCCAGGGCTTTTTCTGCAAGAGTTACGGTGAAACTGCTACAACATAATATTTATGTTCATATTTATGTTATAAGCATCAAATAAAACATATGGAAAGGCATTTACAAGATTCAAATATTGATATTTAATCCAGAAAGGCCAAAAATGTTTATGTGAATCGCTGTTAGCTTAGTGCTAACATACTACTGGTGTCCTAGCAGAGTAGTGGTCAGTAAAATTAACTTTTGTCCTTGTTTTTGACATTAATGACCTGAACTAATGATCTAGCTTGAATAGTCATAGTTCACCACTGTGTATTAGGATGGAGCAATAGTGCTAACATCATAAACCATCACAATCCACCACATCTTTCTCTGTAATTTCCACACACTGCCATGCACCACACCTTCTCTGTGAGAATATGAGTGAAATACATGTCTGTCTTATTTCTTTCTTTTGATATGGTACATTAGTGTAGAGAACCAATTTCGTGAAGAAACAATGTCACTCAATCTCCTTGATACTGGTCCCTCGCACTGCGAGGGGGAGCTATCCCATTAGCTAGGACTTCAGAAGCTGAACTGAAGGCCTAACGTGCCAGATGATCCTCTAACATGCTTAGGAACTGAGAGTTGAATCAACCAGACACTGTTTGATTTCCAGTGGGAACAATTTCATGAAAACAAATCACTCTTGGGCTTATGAAAGTCTTAGATACGTCACTGGTAGCCTGACCAATACATTTCAATCATGTTCTAAAAGGAAAACAGTGGTAGCGTCTGTATGCCAGGGCTTTTCTTCTGAAAGAGTTACTGTGAAACGGCTACAAGACAATATATATGTTAATATGTATGTTACAAGCTTCAAATAAAACATATGGAAAGGCTTTTACAAGATTCAGATATTGATGTTCAATCTAGAAAGGCCAACAATGTTTACGCGAATCGCTGTTAGCTTAGGGCTAACATACTCCTGGTGTCCTAGCAGAGTGGTGGGCACTAAAATTAAATTTCTTCCTTGTTTTTGAGTTTTGACATTTATGACCTGATCTAATAGTCTAGTTCGAATAGTCATAGTCTACCACTGTATTAGTAAGGAGCACTGGTGCTAACATGCTAGTTTATCAGGGAAATATATATTTATTGCTAACAACAGCATGTGTAGTTAACGTTAGCTTAGTTAGCGAAAAAGCAGAGCTATTTGTGCTTTCTTATTCACATCCGTAACAAAGCATCTTTGGCAACAAGCTTGCGTTCAGCTACTGAAAGTTCAATATCTAAAGTTCTAAAGATAAATTTATCACTCATTATTAGCAAAGTTAAAAAAAGAGCCCCAGATGCCATGACCAGGGCTAGCTTTGGCGCAGTGTGCCTCAGTAGCCTGCAAAAACCATCACAGTCCGCCACATCTTTTCTGTGTTTTGGACCTTCATGTGATTTCCACACACTTTCTCTCTGAGAATTTGAATGACATAAATAGTGTAGAGAACCAATTTTGGTAAAAAAAAAAAAACAATGTCACTAAATCTCTTTGAAGTCCTAGATACACCACTGACTGAGAGGACGAGTGGTAGCTTGACTAATTTCTTTCAGTCAGATGTTAGGAAAGGAACACAGCAGCAGCCAGGGACATTTACTAAAGAGGCACTGTGAAACTGCTATAGGGTAAATAAAATGGCTAAAATGGCTGTTACAGGTTTCAGATAAAACCTGTGGAATGTCTGTGACGAGCACAAATAAGCTTCAGATATCCATATTTAACCTAAAGCGGCAAAAACGTGTATGTGAATCGCTGTTAGCTTAGTGCTAACATGCTAGTGTCATAGCTGAATAAACAGCAGTAGAATGAACTGAGCTAATGTCTAGCTAGAATAGTCATGGTTTAGCACTCGGTATTAGGGAGGTGCACTGGTGTTGGATAATGTGCTAACATAGTTTAATGCTATCAGAGAAGTATATTTTCATTGTTTCTGTACCTCGCTAACAACAGCGAGAGTAGTTAGCCTAGTTAGCGAAAAAGGCTCATAATTTCTGCCTTCTCTGTCACATCCACATGTTTCATAGTGGCAAAGTGTAATATTGTGGTTGTCACGCAGAAACCTTTTATCTCCATTTTTGTCTTTTTTTACTCTTTTGTGTAGCTTTAAAAATCCAGTTTGCATTGTGTTAATATTTTATGATAAATGGACCAACGGAAATGTTACAAAATTACCTGGAAAGAAATACATTAAAGTTTTATTCTCCATTTTAGTGATACAATCTTTTGTTCCAACAGCGATGATATAATACATTACTCATAAAAATGAGCAAAAATAACACATTTTACAAAGCATAAAAATGCATGTTATGAATATCTGAGTAGTGACTTCAGTATTCAAAAACTGGTTCCTCGCACTGTTCATAATTATATCAGTGGTTAATCGACACATCAGGCGTTTCAAGGATTTAACCCTTTTTATTCCAACCAGAACTTATCAATGATATGCGAGAATTACCTCAATATTTTGAAGTATAAATGGATCATTCTACAGAAACGTCCATTTTTGTGTCCCTAGCATTTACAGATATATTACACTTGAAAAACACATTAGGGTTACAATTTATTTATATTTTAAAATAAAACAATATGTTATTTTAACAATTACACCTTATTGAACCATCAATTTAGCAATATTGTTTTTTAAATCAATCATATAGAATTCCAAACACCACAGAAGTGCTCGCCCCCACAGTCATGCGTGAAGGCTGAGTGCCATATTTTGAGGTTTTTCTGCTATTTTAACTGCAATAATTTATACATGACTATGGAATATGTAAATTGAATGACATAAAGAAAACAAATGCCAAATAAATATTATAAAATATATAATAAAAGTTGTGGTGCCAGGAGTCGTGTCACTGGTGTTACCGCGTAACAAAAAATCTCTTATTTTGAAATAAAAATCACACTGATGACATCACTTGACTTCCTTTTACCTATTTTCTGAAGATCTATGAAGAAAAGCACTTGGTGAGTCCACTGTGTCTTTTCAGTTATCAGAAATTTTCTCATTCAGCTTATGATTTAATATGAAGCTTTTAGCTGAAGTCACTGGTTTGACCAACTTTATTCTTAGGTAATTGTGAAAAAATAGAAAACAAATGGATTAAATTACATAATTTAGTGGATATTCCATGATTGACAACATGTGGTTTGATGCTCTGTCGGAGCCGTTTTGTAGAATGCATTTTTCATTAAAAATGTCTCTGGTGTTACCTTTCTTATGTGTGACACCAATGAGGATTGGTAACACCAGTGACACCAATGGAGAGATAGAAAAGTGGACGTTTCTGTAGAATGACCCAAATACACCAAGCATGATGACTGCATTAAATAAAAATGAAAACTGTGTACTCTGGCCTATAGACGTTTTAGCTACTGCCACTTCATAGCATCAGGGCACTGATGAACTGAAAAAGCCAGCTTCTTACACGAAACGAAAATGTGATTTTTTAGTGAACCATTCCTTTTTGTCATTACATACTGTCAAAATGACAGCAGTCAGTGTTTTTTTTTTTCTTTTTCTGGCTAATGCACAATACCCGCCACTGGAAAAATAGACAAAAATCTGGAAAATGATACAAGCTTAGCTCATATCTCCCACCCTGGCTGTGTTTCTTTAATAACATATTGTTTCCTCTCCCTCCTTTGTGCTTCTCCTCAGGGTTCCATCTACGCCCTCTCCATAAACGGCCTCATCAGTGTCTCCACCGGCTGTCTGCTCATCCTCATCATTGCCTTCCATTATAAAGACATCCGGGTGAGTTCTCCCTTTGGCTCTGAATCATCGAAGTTTAAAAGACGCAGATTTAACCACCTTTAGTGATGTAGAAACTACTCTATGTATGATTCTGTGTATGATGACTTTTGTGTGACATGAAAACAAACTTTGGTGCGTGAAATCAAGTGCCAGCATACCTGTACCTCATTTACATATCATTTACATGAAGCACGCCCTAATTCATGCAGGTGTTTCACTGTTTAGCTGAGGTTGTGCTGAATCTGGGGATATAAAACACTTTATGGTTCTTCCAGCAAAAGCATGCAAAGGTTGCTTCAATGTAGGTCTTAAAGGGTTAACTGGCAAACCTAAAATCAGCTATATTGGTCCTAATTCCAATTCTGAAATCTGCCTGGCTGAGCTGCATTTAAAGCCAATGTTAAATATTTGAGATATTAGTACTCATATCTTGAGCACCCAATCCAATTCTGTACTAATGCACCAAGATATTAAAATCAGGCACAACGTGTATCTGGAGTAAATGGCCTGAGACCATATTAAGCATGTCCTGCATAAGAACCCAGTTTTGTTTAAAGTCATGGGCTGAAACTATAACATGTTCAAGATTATGGAACCAAATAGTAAAAAGCTAGCAAATGCAGTACTGATATGTGACAAGCAATCATTCTGCTGGAATTAGTTTAAACTTTAGTCCCACAGTAAAAAAAACTGTTTAAGGATTGTTAGATATTTACAAGAATTATGCTGTGATCTATTTAAACCCAAGACATTAACAGAGATAGTAATAAGCTAAATATATACAAAATCATCATTTATCACAGATCATCACAGATACTTTCCTTTCACTTTCCTTTTACTTTCACTTAACCCCTAAATTTCAACTTGTAAATAATAATACTTAAGTTTTGTTTCATGCCACTAGTGCAACACAAAGAGGTTTAGTCCCTAAGCAGAGCTTTATTTTGATGATATTATGCACTGTGGAGGGTGAAATGCCTAAAGTCCTTGCAAATACAGGCTGAGGAACATTATTTTTAAACTGGATTCTTTGTATGAGAGAATAATATTTGGCAGGAAACATGCTGACCTTCTATAGCATCATCAAACACATGCATGTACTCAGCTGTAAAGATTACTTAGCTAACGTGATAAATAATAGTAAACATTAGTTACTAATGTTTTGTTTTTTTTATTTTTGGGCTCACTTACAATCATATAGCGTACTTTGTATAATGTAGCTTACAAAGCAGCACTGCAACATCCATTCCCCTGTGAAATACGCCGATTTTGGATTGCAGCGTCAGATCATAACTGACTAGGAACCACCACAGTGGCAGATTTTTACTGTAAAACTGTTAACACAACGTAGCAGAACTTTTCTACAGTGACGGCTTCAATGATGAAGAATGACTGTCACACTTCAGTCACCTCTTGGCTGTATCCCTGCAGACACTACAGACACGATCTCCATTATTTCTAATAACCTCTAAGCTCTAAGTTGTGTTTCCTAAATTAAGATAAAATTTGCTTCTGTGATATGAATTTGTGCAAAATTTTATCTAGACCTTGTCAGATCTTAAATTAGGACAAAAGATAAGAAAAAGGTTGCTATACGCCGGAACGCAACTATACTACAGTGCCAAATCTTTTCCGTGTCAACTTTTAACATTTACAGTTAAGTGTGAGAAGTTGATGCTGTCAAAAACTGCCATGAGACTCTGAAAAAAGTTATATATTATTATTTGTTAATCTATTGTTATTGTTTATTAGTATTTTTGTTACTCTACTTCTATTTAAACTGAGCGGCAAATGACTATTATAAGTGATTATATGACCAAACACTACAAATTTCACAAAATGACTGGAATATATAATGATGATCTACTGAAGTTCTATATTCTCAAGTTCTAAAATTAAATTTATCACTCTTTACTAAAGTCATAACCAAAGTTAAAAGGAAGCAAATTGCCATGACAAGGACTAGCTTTGGGGTCAGTGGACCTTAGCACCTCTTGAAAGCCGTCACTGTCCTCCACGTCCTTGTCTATAACTTGCACACCGATGTGTAATTTTCTCACACCGCCGCATATCAAATTTTCCCTCGTAGAAAATTTTTTCGTTGTAGTCATGCTCCCGTCCTCTCAAAAAGTGGCCACTTTTTGAGGAACCAGTTGCTTTTTGCGCCCTGAAATGTTCCTCAACTTAAATAATAAACCTGTCTATTCACAAAGGAACTGTTGTTTATTGGAAATGAAACATTTCTTTCAACAAAGCATTGGTCAAACATTTGACTTGAGATGCTGTTCGTTTGTTAGCCAGGTGCTAACCAAGCTTGAAACTGAGAAATGGCTGGTATTTTTGCAGGGATACTCCTTTACATCTTCTACAAGGCTTCCCTTGTTCATTTGGCATGTTACAAGAGGAAACTAATAGAGTATGAGCACCATTTAAGAAGCTGTATATTGATGCTGACATATTACATGTGGGCAAGCACTTAAAGTATGTTTATTGCTCATGAATATCGTGTTTACATGAATAGCTGTCTGTGTTAGCTGGTAATAGGTCTTAGTGGGGCATTAGTGGTATGGCCATTTTATTTTTGTCAGCGGAGTAGCGGCCAGTCAGTGTACAGATAGATGTGGCGAAGTGAGCGTAACATAACACTTCAGGCTGTGTCTCAAAGTCCAATAGTGCCTCTAACTTTAGCATTAAATATCAGTGCTAATGCATAGTGGGGGAAATGTCTGACCTGGCTTTAGACTGGCTTTAGCATGAAACTTTCATGCAACTTTATTTGCTTTAAACCAACATGAAACTTAATTGCACTACTTGCTGTGCTTCTAGGATAGGACAAGCCTGGCATCTGGTAGGCTACCTGTACACACAACACATTAAAAGCTTAAAATATTAGTTTTAACTGCAGTCTCACTGTAAAAAATGATATTTAAAACAATTAAGAATTAAGACTTCAGATATTTACATGGATTATATTGTGAAGTATTTAAATACATCATAGGCATTACTGGAGATAGTAATAAGTTAAATAGGTCCCAAACCATAACCCCTAAATTTGCCTCTAAAATACTTTGCTTTTAAAAAAAAAAAATTAAAGTTGATTTTTAAAGTGAAGTTGAAAGCTGTATCATGAGTTTAACTTTTAAATTTAAAAAGTGACTCATTTCAGCCACACCGCTGCATTTTAGAGCAGTAGGTGAGACTACATTCCTGTCACTCATGGCCACGTGGTGAGCAGTTAAATCCCATTGTTTTGAAGTAAATATGTCCAAAAGTCTGAAAATCAGTGAACATTAAGAACTGTCACTACCGAAACACATATTTTTCTGTGGTTAAGTAAAATTTTTTTGTTTTAATAAAAAATATTACAGGTGTATCTGTGTACAGCTGTTCAAGGCTGTGTTTACTAGTGATGTACTGAATTAGCTAAATTAGCTAAAATCATCACCACCGAAACAGTCACTACCGCAACAGTCACTACTGCAACATACCGAAAGGTTTTGGTAGTGATTTCATTGTTTTGGCGGTAAAAAAATGTAATGTTCAACCATTTATTTTAATAACATTACCATAAATAAGGTATAGGTTCACTCAAAGCAAAGTAATTCTTAATCTAAAATCAAATAGTTTTTAAGTCTGACTTTGAACCAATTCAGTATATTGATCCATATAGTAAAGAACCCTAAATAGATTTGGCTACACAGTAGCACAATATAGACAACACATCAAGCTTTTTGGCCAAAAAAACATTAAAATGTTTTTAAAATTATTTAAAAAATTATTATGATCGATTGTAACATTACAAAATCATACACTTATAGACCAAGCCCTATTAATCCATGACCACCAGATCACTTTCTCTTCAGGAGACTGTGAATGAAGTCCGCGTAGAGAAGCTTGGACGGTTTGCACAGAGACTTTTCAACCAAGAACAGGTTGATTTCAGGAAGTCTATCAGAGCAAAATGATCTGCGAGTGCAGCACAGAGATAACAGCCATGAGGTTAAACATGGGAGGCTTATCTCACCTCTTGAAGCAGTGGATGTTCTCCATGCAGTAAGCAGCATGCTGCTCACATTTGCTTTAACATTTGTAGAATTGCTACAAACCAGTGCAAAAACTGACACGTCATCTTCCTTATATCTCCTACGTACTAATCACCACTCTGCAAGCTTTCCCTGACCTTTATTTCAAGTAAAAGAGCTCGGAGTGAGAGAACGTGGTATGAAAAAGGGGAAGACAATATGTAAATTCACTAAGAAAAAAAAGTCAAAGACAGAGAGGCATCCTATCGATAGGGCTTCTCAGTGCAGTGGAACATTACAAAATGGTGTCCTGCTTGTCATCTGAACAGCATACTTAAGAGACCAAGGCAGTTGGCTCTGTGCCTCATGCTCATCTTGAGTACCTAAGCACATGTCTCTTCTGGCCAGTCCTGCCAAGATATCATCTGCTTTTACTCGATCCCTCCCCAACTCTCAGTCTGTCTTGCACCCCCTTCACCTGATCCACCTTTCTAACGACTTACCCTTCCCTCATTAACACCTGCTTCTCATTGCTTGCTCCATTCCCGTGGGGATCATATAACCCTTGAACAGGGAAACACCAATGCCAACTCTTCAGGATAATTACAAAAACAAAGCCAAATCAACTCTTAGGAGTCTAAAGTTGGAGACAAGGAGGTGTAAAGTTTGTTCATACCAGTTCATAAGCCTGAGTCAACAAGCAAGCCAACAAGGAGGAGCTACAGTCAAGATACCGATGACGACAGACTAAGAGGGATTCCGGAGAGGACAAGGGGAGACGGAGCCAGGACGAGGAATAAGTAAGATGGGGTGGAATGAGGCCGGGGATATCATGTACAAATCCCCACACTGTACAGCTCCTGAGGCATGGAAACGAGCTCAGCTGAGGGAGGCCTATAGGCTAAGGTGGGAGCCATAAAAGTGGGATGGAGTGATGTAGGGCTGGGGGCATGGGCAGGGACAAAGATGTAACGTGGTTGGTATAGTGTAGTGGGTAACACCTCTGCCTTCTACACTGTAGATTGGGGTTCAGTCCCCCACCTGGGCAAGCACCCTACACTATACCAATTAGAGTCCTTGGGCAAGACTCCTAACACTGCCTTCGCCTACCTGTGTAAAATGTAAAATTGTAGTCGCTCTGGATAAGAGCGTCTGCCAAATGCCGTAAATGTAACAGGAACCGGGACAAAGACAAGGCAATACTGTCGACCGGGAGCTGCACTTGGGACAAGACCGGGAGCTTAGTGCAGAACAGGAACCATTTGTGGGACAGGTCTAGAGACTGGGTCAAGGCAAGGGACTAGGTCAGGCCCAGGGAGAAGTGTGTGAGTGACTCAGCATTCAAAAACATTGGTGGAAATAAGGAGGCAGGATGCATGCACATACTTTGTTCATTAGATTCCAAGCGTACTGCCTGATGGTCTGCTGATGGTCAAGTCTATTTGAGGGAAAATCTTGACCTATTTTTCAGAATTTCTGCAAGCCGAGATGTAAACAAAGTCATTCGAATCAAACCACTCACATCCACATCTTCACGTTCAAAAATCGGTGGAACTTCTTTTAACTCCTTGATGAGGTTTGAGGCAACGTTGGCCTCATTATCCTCACAGCTAGCACAAACTCTAGAAGCAGACTTCAGACACTGTGATCAGCTACATTTAGAGTAAGGTTAAATTTGTCTAAATTACATCATTCACAATCACTTGCTTTAATATGTTGTTCTTCTCTCTCTCCAAGCTCTTCATCATAGACCACAACCAGGTGGACTGGCGCATCGCCATGACAACCAACCGGGTGCTCGGCATCTCTCTGGAGCTGCTGGTCTGCGCCATCCACCCAATAGCCTCGTACCTGGGGCCTGATGTTGGGGTGCCATCGCCCGTCCTCACGTGGAACACCTCCGTCCCACCCATCTGCCTATGCCAGAGCCAGAGGGAGACGTGGATGGAGGTGGAGCTTCTACTGTCGGGCCTGATGTTCCTGCGCTTGTACCTTGTGCACAGAGCCATCCTCCTCCACAGCAAAGTCCTTCTCAGTGCCTCCTACAGGAGCATCGGCTCTCTCAACAACATCAATTTCACTTTCCGCTTCGTGCTCAAGGTGCTCATGAACAAGTACCCAGCCCGCACCCTGCTGGTCTTCATCATGTTGTTCTGGCTCTCCGCTGCTTGGATGCTAAGGCTGTGTGAGAGGTATAATGCACTCATTCATGCAAACATAATAATAATTATTTTATTTATAGAGTACTTTTCAAACCAGTGGCAGCTCAAAGTGAGTTACAGACAGGCGACAAGGTTTAACAGTAAACTTTATTAATTTATTTTTGTTTGTAAATATGTGTGTTACACCACTTTTCCTTTTAACAGCACTTAATAAACATTTGGGGACTGAAGACACCAATTAGTCCAGTTCTGAAAGTGAACTTTTTTGCCATTCTTCATTTATACATCCTTCAACTGCACAAACATGGGGCCTTTACTGTCATATTTTGCACTCCATAATGCGCCACGGAGTCTAGAACCCACTCTCTGATTATGCAGCCATGCTGTTGTAACTTAAAAAAGGCAGCGACTAAAATGTATATATCTTTAATTGTTAACGGTGCTTTACAGATGTGCAGGTTACCCATGCCATAAGTTCTAATATACCCCCATACCACAACAGACCTTTAACTTTATGCTGGTAACAATCTGGATGGTTCTTTACTTCTTTTGGCCAGAGAACATGACGTCCAATATTTCCATAAACAGTCTAAAAGATAGACTGTCCACTGTGCATCTGTCCATTTTAGATGAGCTCAAGTCCATAGTCGGCAGGGTTTCTGGACGTTGTTGACGTATGGCTTCCACTTAACTTGCGTTTGTGGCGGCAGTCACGGACAGTGTTTGCTGACAACAGTTTGTCAGAGGTTTCCTGAGCCAGTGTGGTGATATTCATCACAGAAGCATGCCGCTTTTTCATGCAGTGCAGTCTAAGTGATCGAAGGTCACGAGGAGTTGGTTTACGCACAGAGATTTTTCCGGGCTCCCTGAATATTTTGATGAGATTCAAAGATTCAGATGCACTGTAAAGGGTGAAATACATAAAATCCTTGCAAGTGCTCATTACGGAACATTGTTCTTAAGCAGTTGGACTGTTTGCTGATGAACTTTTTGATAAAATGGCGAGCCTCGACCCGTCCTCAGTCATAAATGACTAGACCTTTCCTGGATGCTCCTTTACATCAGAGCATGAATACATCACCGTTTACCAGCATATAAGCTGCCAGTGCAGTTTTTTCAAAATGGAGGTGATAAAAGCTCTCTTGTAGTTTTTGTTAGAATCCTTCATGCTGCATTTTGTACGAGTTGGGAAGCCCAGTAAAAAGAGCATTACAGTAATCAACTTTGCTTGTAACAAATGCATGAACGTTTCTCTTTTGCAAATGATAAAAAGCTACTTTAGTGACTGGATTTACATAAGTTTAGAATCAAGACTACACTCATTGTCAAACTTCAGGTTTGGTATACAAAGTAAAAAGGTCTACTTTCTCACAAAACAGCTTTTTATTACAATATTTCAGGGTTTTTTTATTTAGTTGTAGGAAATGTTTTGTGTAATTTTCTACAAAATATCTGATACAAAACTGGCAATCCTGTCAACAGAGTCTTGATACTTAGAAGAAATGGAAATGTATCATCAGCATAAATGTGTCATCAGCATACCTATGAAAACTGATGTTTCCTGATGACATTACCTAGAGGCAACATGTACAAAGAGAAAAGCAAAGGCCCTCAAATAGAGCCTTGTGGCACACCACAAGAAATGTTAATTTGATTAACGTTTTTCCAGTGAAACCAAGAAATGCAGTGAAAGAGTAAGAAAAGTGCGCAGATGCTAAAAGGTTAGCCCAGTCTTAAAAAGTAAAACCAATTTTAAAATTAAGCTTTAAACAAATACTGTTCCAGAGACTACAGAAAATATGCATCGCAATAAATATTGTTGTATTTTGTGGTACAATTTTTGACAATCTGTATTTTTACTGGAAAATATGTCACATTAACAAAGAAAAATGTGTTCTGATTTTCAATTCACATTGACTTTGAAGAACATATTCCCAAATATTCCCTTTGTGTCTTTAATGGTTTATGTATATTGTTTTGCATTATTTTTTCATTTACATTTGTTTATTTCTGTAGGTGCCACCTCTACTGTACATAGACTAACTGCATAAACCGGCCACTTCATTAAGTGCACCTCCTTTAGAAGCTATTTGTTGCATAATTGTTGTATTACTGCTCCTTCAATGGTAACTATAGCTGTGACATGATAACCAACTGACCAATGCCAATACATTCCCTGCATATTCTGTCCATTATTTATAATGAGCTATGAAAAAAAATCAAGGAGCCAAAAAAAAGAAAAGGTGTACACAATGCAAGATATATCAAAAACTTTTGATGCACACTTGTCAAGCAAAGTGTATAAAAATCTAATGACGTAATTTACATAAAGCATATTTATCTCTGTTCGTCAAAACGTAAAAGAAACGAGCTGCCAGCTGAATACACATTTGTACGTATTTACACTTAGAAGCACGTCAGGCACTGGGCGCTGATTCCTTTTACCATCACCGTTGATGGTCAATTTGAAGTCTTAATTTGGAAAATATATTTAGTAACAGGTTTGTTATAAATAGGTCCATTTCAGGAAGTCTGACAAATATTCCTTTAATTCTTGGCAACTGGACATAGCGTGTGAAATCGAGCACCATATGCTTCCGTTTGTTTTCGGGAAACTTCTTTATTGCGGCCTAGAGAGGAAAAGGTCATTTCCATCAAATACATGCAATGTGTAGTAAGTTTTAGTGGGTGGTCAAAAGCACTTAAATAAGCAGTGTGAATCTATGAATGTAGTGAAAATCTCATTATTGGAGTTGAGTAAACTGAATAATCTGGGGTAAGAGTGGGCTTGTTGTTTTCAGGAATTAGAATTTCATATTGAATAATGAATGTGAGCTCAACCTGCAGACTTTTAGCTTTAATTTGAGGGTGTTTACATCCAAGTGAGTTTGACATTGTAGGAATTACAACCATTTTTATACATAGCCTGTACATAGAATGTTATTCCCTCTTTATTTCACTGTAAAAAGACCATGAAAACAGCTCAGATAATTCACAATGCGGCTGCCAGAGTCTCACTAGGACTAAAAGAAGGGAACACATCACCTCCATTCTTAAATCCTTACACTGGCTACCTGTCTTTAAGATGCTATTACTGGTCTACTGGTCTATAAATCGCTTCATGGTACAGGACCAGCACGTTTATCTGATGTGCTGCAGTGATATGAGCCAAGCAGAACTCTCAGATCATTAGGAACTGGTCAGTTAGTACTGCCGAAGGTAAAGACTGAACGTGGAGGAGCAGCATTCAGCTACTGTGCTGCTCCTAAATGGAACCAGTTGATGGAGAGCATTAAAAGAACCCCAATACTTGTGGATCCAGGCTGAAAACATTGCCATTTGAGTAGTTTTCAGCTCAGTTCAAAACTCTCTGAGCTCTACTGCACCTCTCTCCTGTAAGGGCATGTTTTAAATTTCTATTTTCCTACATTTTTAAATTTTAATTTGAATTATTTTTCTATTTTCTCGTTTGTAAAGCACTTTGAATGACCGCAATGTGTGAAAAGCGCTATATAAATAAATTTGCTTTGCCTTACAGTCAAGCAGATACCAACCAATTCCAAATGCCACACTTGAAATCAAGACCTTGTAAGTGAAATAATTAGGGAATGACACACACCTGGCCATGAAACAGCTGAGCAGCCCATTGTCCAGTTAATTTAAGTCCCTGAAAAAATAAATATAAAATAACAATTACTTTGTCTATGTCCAAATGTTTATGGACCTGACTGTATGTAGTGTATGACTTGTGGCTTTGTTGTCCTATTTGATAACACTTTTTACTTATTGCATTATTAATAATAACATTCTGTTTTTAATAATTACAAATGATTTAAATGAGTTAACTGTTCATTAACAGTTATGACTTAGTAACGTTTTATGTACTTAGTAATTAGTAATTGAGTATTCTGTTAAGTGATTAACATTAACTGTGTACTAACTGCGTATTACACCATTAATGAACTGAAGTGTGTTTACTTATATAAAGAAGTAACATATGAACTTATGAGGTCAATTAATGATGTGATAATTACTGATTTATTGTTATTAATTAAAGGCTACTTTGTGTCCCTCCCAGTAATGAACTCCCACTATGAATTTATCATTATGTCGTAGCCTTGTGACCGGAAGGTCGCCGATCGATCCCCTGAGCCAACAGTACGTGACTAAAGTGCCCTTGAGCAAGGCACCCAACCCCCAACTGCTCCCTGGGTGCTGCGGATAGGGCTGCCCACCACTCTGGGCAAGAGTGCTCACTTCCCCCTAGTGTGTGTGTTCACTAGTGTGTATGTGGTGTTTCACTGCATGGATGGGTTAGATTGCGGAGGTGTAATTTTAAGGGTCACTTAATCTTAATCTTAAGACTTGATTAGTTCCAGTATCTTAATTTTTCTCTACTTATTTTTGTGTTTCTCAAGTAAAGTGGAAAAAAAACACCTACATTATTAATTAACATTTATGCTAAATGATTCCACACAATAAACCAAACAGGAAACAAGAGCAATTCAGTTTTCATTATACTAAAATGGGTCTTTCACACTTGCACATCTCATCCAATGACAGCTTGTTCAGAGACAATAGTGGGTTTTCCATGGTATCACTTCAAAAAGAACCACTTTTTGAAATGTAAGATAGTAAGATAATATTATGACAAATACAGTAAATATGTGCATATTTCATTTCATTCTTTGAATAAGCTGCATGTATTGTATGTTATTTTATCACAATTATTTCTCAGTTGCCATATGTCCTGTTATATATCTCCCAAGATCCATACAAGACTGCACAGTGGAGAGAAATGTAATTCAGTAGATTGATTGACAGATTAAGAGCTCTAACTCATAAGTACTGGTATGTTCATATTTTAATTATATGAGTTAACACACTTGCAATTAGCAGCAGTTAATGAGAAATTACGCTATAAACTAATAACAAACTAAACCGTCACTTAACAGTGTAGTCAATTACTAATTTGTAAGTATGTAACCATTCACTTGGTAATAACCAATTCTTATTGAACAGTTAATTCATGCATTACGTGACTTATTAATGATGTAATTAATCTTTAATTTGCTACCCTTAATGTAAAGTCTTACCAACTTCGTAATGCATGCATAAACATTGGCTCAAGTATTGAAAATCAGTAACTGAATATTAATGAACGGCTTATGTCAGCATTCATAAGATGACATAAGATATTTTATGAGTAGAATGCATTGACATAGAAGCTCTTAAACTAAAGTGACAGACATTTGTTTCTTTTAAATAACACTGTTATGAAGCATCATTCCCAGGTAATGGAACTTACAGAGCAGAGTTCTGGATAAGAATATCAGTTCTATATGTTTCTGCTTGAGTTAAAGCCCCTGTAAACATGGTTTCAAATGCTTAAATAGTAACAGTGTGCTGCGTAAAAAGCATTTACTAGTTTTATAGTCCAGAAATGTATCGTCACTGTCTCCATATTTTGCGATTTTTATTTTTTGTATATCATTTGAGCTCAGCAGCTTCCCTTTACAATGTGTGACAATTTCCTGATGAATGGACCAATGGAAATGCTGTAAACATTGCTTGAAATAAAATTAACTTACATTATAAGTATAACTAAGGGAGGTGTTAAGAGAACTTTTGACTCAACTAAGAAGTTTGAGTTGAACTCTTGTGTCCTCAAATTGAGTCAACTCAAGAAAAGCCATGAAATTAGTTACTATATAATTTTGAGTTGAGCTGACCTCTCATTTTTAACAGTGTGGACAGCAACCATGTATAAATTAACACAATTTAGTAGTAGATAAATGCTAAAATTTCAAGCTGCTGCCGGCTCAGAACTGGAAGGGGCATGTCAGAATGTGAAATGATTGACAGTGGCGTCTCCCAAGTTGTGTAAACAACCTGGCTCACCACTGCCAGTCAGTGTGCTTCAACCCTACACATTTGAGTTTGCTCTACTTGACCGGTCTCTAAATGGTCAGTAAAAAGTAAACAACGGAGAAGCTGTATATTGGTCATTATAGAGATCTAATTGCATTTTGCAGCTAATGTTCGAGAACTCAGGTTCCTCAGTTTGGCCATTTTTTGAAGGCAGTGTAGATGTATCCTCCACTGTCTCACATATCCCATAATCCTTTGTGTCCACGCTGACTCGGTTGAAAAAAAACGCTTTTTGCTCTTTATTCTGTACAAGCATTTTGTAATGAATGAACCAATAGAAGTGCTTCAGATTTCCTTGGAACAAAATCCATTTAATTCTAAGTTAGTATCTTTTTTTCCTTATCCTGTCAAAATCCGTTTTTAGAGATATAAGGTTTTGTCTTGACAGTGATAATTATTTATTATTTTAATTTTCATTATCATACACTTCTGTAATGATATTGTAGTTACTAGAAGACATACAGTGACTGCAGTTCTGTACCATCCCTCCTTGAAACGGCAGAAAAATGTGGAATATTCAGACACAATTTTTCCTTTATCAAAACTATACATGCTTAATGCGACACGTCCATTGCACCACTCAGGAACAGCTGAGCTTACTGACATTTCTGTGTTCATAAATATTTAATACACGGTACGAAATGTTAGTTGTTTTAACCTTAGAAAGTAGTTACATGTGGTGCAACTGTCTCATTCATTCATCCCAACTCAGTGTAAACTGATTTTGGAGATGCTCCTCCTCATGACACGAAGCACAAAAAAAAACAGGCAGAATGTCTTCAAGTGCGAATAATATCTCCTTGCTACTCACAGAAGAGGCTGACGGTAACACTGGGCTACTGTCCTTTTTGGAAAAGTGAAAGCGTGTAGAGCTACATCCACCGTTCAGAAGCTGAAACTTTGAGTGCCTCCACATATAACTTGATGTTCGTTGCCCAGTTTGAGCTGCTTTTAGAGATTCTGATCCTTTTGATGTTCCTAAAAAGTTGCTGCAACACAGCCAATTCAATTGACATACACATTTAAAGTCACCCAGTTCAAAGTTGTATGCTTTGAGTTACGCTGCATGCTTAAAATCCCTACTGGTACATGTGGTTTCACTAAATCAGCTGCTTACAAACTGTTCTATGCAATTTGGCTACCATGGCTTTTGTCAAGCAAACGTATGTGACCAGATCTTAACCCTATTGAACATCTGTGGGACATTTTGGACTGACATGTTAGGCAGCGCTCCAACACAATCATTAACAACCAACCAAGTGAACATCTTGTGGAAGAACCATATTCCATCCATCCATTATAGCTCCAGAGACTTGTAGCATCTCTGCCTTGGCACCCAGAAGCTGCACTGGTGACTTGTTATGGCATTTACTAAGACATTCACTATTTATTTTTCTCTTATTTTGTCACGTGTCAGTATGTGTATATATGCATACTCATTCATGCATTATCTAATCAGCCAGTCATGTGGCAGCAGTGCAGTGCATATAATCATGCAGATATGGCCCAGAATTCTTCAGGTAATCTTCACATAAACCATCAGAATGGAAAAAAAATGATCGTGGCATGATTGCCAGTGCTGGACAGGTTGGTTTGAGTATTTCTATAACTGCTTATCTCCTGGGATTTTCACGTACAACAGTCTCTTTACATTCAGAGTTTATTCACAATGGTGCAATTACAAAAAAACTTCCAGTAAGCAGCATCTCAGAATGTGCAACACGTCGAGCCTTGAGGTGGATGGGCTACAACAGCAGAAGATCATGTCGAGTTCCACTTCTGTCAGCCAAGAACAGAAAGTTGAGGCTGCATTGAGCAAAGGCTCACCAAAACCAGACAGCTGAAGATTGGAAAAACATAGTCTGGTCTAATGAATAACAATTTCTGCTTAGGCACACAGATGATAAGGTCAAAATTTGGCACCAATAGCTTGAATCCATGGACCCAACCTGCCTTGTGTCAACAGTCGAGGCTGGTGGAAGTGGTGTAATGATGTGTGGAATGTTTTCTTGGCACACTTTGGGCCCTGTTAATATCAGTGAATCATCTCTTGGATGCCACAGCCTATTTGAGTATTGTTGCTGACCATATGCATCCCTTCATAGCCAAAGTTTATCTTCTATTGGCTCCTTCTGATAATGCACCATGTCACAAAGCAAAAGTTGCTTCAGCTCAGTTTTGAATTATTTGAATTGCAAGAAGCAGAAAATGCAAATGAACTTTGGAGATATGGAAAAATATCTCCAAAGGTTTCTTTGAAAAAACAAGTCTCTTGAAAAGAACAGAAGCTGTAATAAAGGCCAAGACTGGACACATCAAATACTGATTTTTTTTTGCAGAATGCTGAAAAATGGATCAACTTAATGGCTGTTTTGATTGGAAATTAAATAAAAGTAAAAGTAACATAAACTCTGACTTTTACACAGTATTGTATAACAGTAAACTATTGGTAAACGTATTAATACTCTTGTTGGTAAATTGAAAAGAAAATCAGTGGCATCAATCATCTTTATTATGTAGGCTGATCTGTTTAGACCTATTTCTTCTTGTGCTCTCTAACTCAGCCCCCTTGTCTGTGTGTCTCCCCCTGTAGGCAGGAAGTAGTGCAGACAGGAGACATGGGTACAGCACTTTGGCTCATCGCCATCACCTTCCTCACTGTGGGCTACGGAGATGTGTCCCCCGAAACCAGCTGTGGCAAAGTGGTCTGCCTCTTTACAGGCGTCATGGTAAATATGATACTGCCACGGTCGTTTGCACTGGTTAGCTGTGAATGTTTGCTGTAATGATTCTGAGCTAGAAAAATGAAATGCTGTATGCTGTGATTTTACTTACAGCTCTAATCATTGCCATTGTTTTAACTTCAGACATGAACGTAACACTCACAGCTCCAGCTTGACTCAACAACTGCCAAAACGTTTCTTTAAAAAAACGTAATTTAAAAAAGTTACACAAAGAAATAGTAGAGAATAAACAAACAATGGCTATAAGTACAAGTTTTATTCAGTTCAGCTGCAGTAGTCTTTTTATGTTTCTTTCATTGGAATAAACAACAAGAAACGTTGACTTAGGCCCAATCCCATTTCATCCTTTGCCCTTACCACATAGCCCTTAACCCTGACGTCTAGAGGTAGGGTGTCCCAATTTTTGTTGAGATAGAGGGGTAGGGTGAAGTGTCAGGGTTACACGGCCGTCCAAATGGAGGTTTTTCAGAGGCACACGCCAAACGGAGTTTTATGAGAAAAAAAGAAAAACCAGCAAGACGGCTACACGAGCGACCAAATAAACACACAAATGTGAGAATTTTCTCAGTTAGAAAATTACGATAACCAGTGTATTGTCTTAGTTTAATGTCGTTTCAGTGTATTATGGTCGTTTTCTTTATAACAAGCATAAAAAATCGCTATTAGCATGCTAATGTCTCAGTAGCTAGCTAGCTAACTTTCCCGCTCCACCTTAAATAGTCCCGCAGTTCTGACGCCTGAAGCGCCAGAATGTAACTGCTGCACCATTTAAGGTGGAACTGGAAAATTCAAACAAGAAGCTGGTGAATATCTGACTTCAGCTTCGTATCACCAATGAATTAGGGGTGGGCAATAATAAATAGTTGTCCCCCCCCTCTTTGAAGGCATATGATGCCCTAAGTGTAACTAAAGGCCAGCAGTGAGGAGCTGAACTTTACCCTCCTCTGTAATCACTGAAGATGGGCCGGGTTGCCTACAGAGCACAGCTAGTAGCCTGTTAATGAAGTAAGTGTTCTTTTTATTTGTCCCATTTCGTAGGGCAAGATTTCAGCCACTACCCCAGCCACTCAGTTCCAAGGGTTTAGGGTGACACTCGAAAATAAGTGGTAGGGGTAAAAAGAAGAAATGGGATTGGGCCTTAGACACAGGCCCTTCACTGCCCTCTGGGGAAGAGCAGAATTTAGATATAATTAAAGGAGCTTTTATTGTTACACGTGCTAATTTCCTTATTTGTTCATCAAAAATCCTAATTTACTCTTCTGGTTCTGAACATTCAGACTTGCTCGTGTGCCAGTTTTATACACAAGCTATGTGCGTTTTGGGTTGAACACATTCTATTTGCACCTGAGACTTGGCACAAAAGACAACATCTGGTCCTCAGTCTGTAGCCATGTGCATGCGTGCGTACTCCGAGCTGCTGGCTCTCCTCCGTCCATCCCTGGTTTTCTGATCGTAGCAGATAAACGACAGGAGCGCAGGGCCCGAGCCAGGCGCAGACACCTCCCTGAAACTGACACAGTGGAAAATAATCTTTCACTCCACTCACTCTCCCTCGGACGGTGTTTTTATAAGCTTTCCCCCCTTTTTTTTTCTTTTTCCACCACTTTCCACCATTGCCATTTTTAGGTGGTTTATAGCATTTGGCACCGGTGAATCCAGAGGGTGTGCCAACCTGCCAACCAAGTCTTGGAAAACCAAAGGGAAAAAAAAAAGTTTCCTAATCCAGTTGGAACAATACAGTGGGCTAGTTTTATAGAGGTGAGGGATTGCCCTCTCACCTGTAACAGAATCACACTATCAGCTACTGCCATCATCCTACATACGCCCTGTCAGATTTACCTCAGGCCCATGGTGTGGGGCAGATTTAATGATTCCAGGGCTCTAGGCAAAAGACAGTAATGGGGCCCCCTATTCACATTTTTAAATTAGCTGAGGCTCTGTGCTAAACATGTATCTAAACACTATCACTTTAAAAGGCATAACATTATGACCACCTCCTTGTTTCTACACTCATTGTCCATTTTATCAGCTCCACTTACTATATAGGTGCACTTTGTAGTTCTACAGTTACAGACTGTAGTCCATCTGTTTCTCTGCATACTTTGTTAGCCCCCTTTTACCCTGTTCTTCAGTGGTCAGGACCCCCATGGACCCTCACAGAGCAGGTACTATTTGGGTGGTGGATCATTCTCAGCACTGCAGTAACACTGATGTGGTGGTGGTGTGCTAATGTGTGTTGTTCTGGTACGAGTGGATCAGACACAGCAGTGCTGCTGGAGTTTTTAAACACTGTGTCCACTCACTGTCCACTCTATTAAACACTCCTGCCTTCTCAGTCCACCTTATAGATGTAAAGTCAGAGACGATAGCTCATCTGCTGCTGCACGGTTTGTGTTGGTCATCCTCTAGTCCTTCATCAGTGGTCACAGGACGCTGCCCACAGGACGCTGCTGCCTAGATATTTTTGGTTGGTGGACTATTCTCAGTCCAGCAGTGACACTGAGGTGTTTAAAAACTTCAGCAGCACTGCTGTGTCTGATCCACTCAGACCAGCACAACACACACTAACACACCACCACCACATCAGTGTTACTGCGGTGCTGAGAATGATCCACCACCCTAATAATACCTGCTCTGTGGGGGTCCTGACCACTGAAGAACAGGGTAAAAGGGGGCTAACAAAGTATGCAGAGAAACAGATGGACTACAGTCTGTAATTGTAGAAATATAAAGTGTACCTAAATGGATGAGTTGATAAAAGGAGGTGTACTTAATGAAATAGCCGGTCGATATCATACGCAAAATGACACATGCAAAAGTTTGGGCGCCTCGGTCAAATGACATGTTTTGTTGATCTTCCAAGTGAAAATAGGTGAACAGATCCTCTACAGAAACGCACTTCTGCACAATGCAGAATTACTGTTTGTTTGTTGAATTGAACATATTGGGAAAAAATGAATAAATAAAACAAAAAAATGCCTGTTATGGCACATTATGTATTTTCTGTTTTATTTTGTCTAATATATTAAATCTAATATTTATGTTAGTTCTCTGTAGAGGATGTGGAGGATGTTTTAACTTATTTTTTATGTAGAAATGTGTAATTTGAGCTGAGTGTTCAAACGTTTGCATACATGTGTATATTTAAAACATTATTTTAAAAAGCAATAGTAAATCCTTAGTCAAGGAAGCTTTTAAGGGAAACTTGTTTAAAAATTTCTCCAAAATGCTCCATTCTGACAAAACACACAGAGTCAAAAATAAATATATCGCTGTTGTTGGAAGAAAACCTCGTATCTCCATTTTTGACGTTTTTCAGTTTTTGACATAATTTGAAAATACCCTTTGCCCTTTACATTGTACGTAAAATATTATGATGAATGGACCAAAAGAAACGGCCCAGAATTACTTGGAAAAAGGTCTGGTTCCATTGACTTACATTAAAAGTAAAGGTTTTTTCCTTCTGCTGTAAAGTCATCATTTTGGAGATCAGAGGTTTTCTTCCAACAACAGTCATAATTAGATAAAGACATTTTAGAATCATTTTATGTCAATCTTATCACACCTCAAAAAAAAATTCATTTGTGCTACAACACTCGCAGCTTTTATAGCACCAGCGCTAAATGCTCAGAAAGTTTACATACAGCCCTGATGTCTGGTTAGACCGAGGAACATGCGGCGGCAAAGTCTAAATAGGCCTCAGTTGTCTATCAGGTCAAAGTACAGGAGCATGTGTGATCTATTTTCTTGCCTGCATGTGCCATCTGTTTTGGGGAGGTGCTCACACGACTCATATCCTCTCCATGGGGCGTGGACAGATCCCAGGAAGGATGTGTTTCCTCCTGAGCCGGTTTCTTATGCAGAGGAATCTGCGCAGACTGCCACCTCTTAAGGTTTTAGGAACTACTGTCTGAGACAGGGCGATTCTGAAAGATTACTTATGATTTTAGATCTGGCAGCCTTTGTTTAGGTTGAAAGATTGGTGGATTTGGAGGCTACTAATGTATATATGCCAAATAAACAATTCAAGGAACAGTTTGATAAAAGCTATGCGTTTTCCCCTCATCCCAGCTGTCAACCAAGACTTGTTTGTTGTCTGGCGTGTGCTTCTTTAGCTTTGCACTGGAGCCGTGAGACTAATGTAGCATCGGGTAAACTTGCCTAATATATATATGTGTGTGTGTATACAGACTGTAGTCCATCTCTTTCTGTGCACACTTTGTTAGCCCCCTTTTACTCTGTTCTTCGGGGGTCAGGACCCCTACATGGTAGTGCTGCTGGAGTTTTTAAACACATTAGTGTCACTGCTGGACTGAGAATAGTGAGTGGACACAGCATTTAAAAACACCAGCAGCACTGTTGTGTCTGATCCACTCATACCAGCCCAACACACACTAACACACCACCACCACGTCAGTGTTACTGCAGTGCTGAGAATGATCCACCACCCAAATAATTCCTGCTCTGTGGTGGTCCTGTGGGTGTCCTGACTATTGAATGGACCTGATCAAATGGACAGTGTTGATAAAAGGAGGTGTACTCAATGAAATAGCCGGTCGACATCATACGCAAAATGACACATGCAAAAGTTTGATCGCCCCATATGCAAAAGTTTAGGCGCCGCGGTCAAATAACATGTTTTGTTGGTTTTCTAAATGAAAATATGTTAACAGATTGTAACGTGACGGAGCCAGCCAGACGTTCGCGGTAACAAAACAAGAAACGAGGCCTTTGATGGAAAGGGTTTGACAAGATTCATGGTCGGTGAACAGGCGTAGGTCAAATCCAAAAGAGCAAAAAGCCACAAAAGGGCAAACATAACAAAGTCAACAGGATCCATAAGGGCAAGGACAAAATGACAAAATCCTGCAACAGGGTCAAATACACAAAAATGGCGAACAGGAAACGCTCAGTAGCGCTGCAATGAGAAGCAATACCTGAGTCCTTCGATGGAAACGTCCATATTTGTGTCCCTAGCGTTTACAGATATATTACACTTGAAAGACATGTTAGGGTTATAATTTATTCATATTTTCAAATAAAACAATAAGTTATTTTAACAGTTACACCTTTTTGAGTCAACAGATTAGCAATAGTGTTTTTTAAATCAATCATATAGAATTCCAAGCACCACAGAAGTGCTCGTCCTCACAGTCACGTGTAATGTGCCATATGCCAAATAAGTATTATAAAATATATAATGAAAGTCGTGGTCCCAGGAGTCGTGTCACTGGTGTTACTGCGTAACAAACAATCTCTTATTTTGAAATAAAAATCACACTGATGACATCACTTGACTTCCTTTTACCTGTTTTCTGAGGATCTATGAAGAAAAGCACATGGTGAGTCCACTGTGTCTTTCAGTTATCAGAGATTTTCACATTTAGCTCATGATTTCATATGAAGCTTTTAGTTGAAGTCACTGGTGTGACCGACTTTATTCTTAGGTAATTGTGGAAAAATAGAATACAAATGAATAAAATTACATATTTTAGTGGATATTCCATGACCGACAACTTATGGCTTGATGCTCTGTAGCAGCACTTGTGTAAAATGTGTTAAAAATGTCACTGCTGTTACCTTTCTTATGCGTAACACCAGTGACTCCTATGGATAAATAAAAAAGTGGACGTTTCTGTAGAATGACCCACCTCACGACTAACCTAATCCAAAGTTCAGGCTTATAAACTAAACTAGACTGGTCGTATGACACATAGAACAGCTTCAAAACATCAGTATTCTGGTGATTGTGAGCGGTGATTAAAGGATTGAGGAATCTCAACAGTCACATGATCTCCCACGGGATTCTGGGAAGTGGAGTCCATCTGTGAGTCAGAGCCAGACGGATGCGTGACACAGATCCACAGAAACACACTTCTACATAATTTAATGCACAATGACTTAAGAATGGCCTGTCTTCACAGCACTAACTGAATTTTCCATTTCCTTCTTTTGCTAACGCAAGCAGTTGAGGAGAGCAGGTAACGATGTCCTGTATTACTGCTGCAACAGGAACGTGCTCTTTAAGATAACTAGATTGTGAATGGAGGTTGCATGACTTTCTTTCATTAACTTTCAAGCTGTGTCTAATGAATGTCTTCTTGCTATCACTTCTCAATACGCATCACTGTCATATCAAAACCTAGAAACTGTTTGGGTTTTTTACACCATTTGAAGACCCCAATTGCCATTTGCTTTGTTTAAATGTTTCAGGATCAATAGACCAACAGAAATGGTCTGAATTTGCTTAAAAGAAAATCCTCCTTAAGTTGCAAAAAAGCCCCAAAATTTTTATTTCCTGCATAATTAAATGGTTAAGATGTAAGCAAAGTCATTCACAGCGGTTTGCTGTGAAATGATTCATTCTAAGCCCTTTTACCAAGTCAGAGTTGTTCACAGTGGTGGTGATAGGAACCAGACGTCCGAAACGTCTAATGCCTCTAAAAATCACCTCACTTCAAGTTAGTACATGAATGAGTTATAAATATGCTGTATGATGCCTGAAACATTGTGTTTGGACACTTTTGAGAGGAACATTTGGCCTGAAATGTAATTTTTAAGAGCCAACAGCAGAGAAGTACATGCAGGGTATTATAAGGCAAAATATTTTTCCTGATTTTCCACTATTTTACATCATCAGCATTACACATAAAAAGCCAGAAGACACGACCGTTGGTTCCTATCACCACCACTGTAAACAACTGATCCGAGTGACTTTTACGATCTGGCTGCCTGTATTGGGTCTCATTTTAAAACTAGTCCAGGGTGAAATACCCCATTTTTTTATGGTCAGTGGCCAGGGCTACGCTGCTGGAGGCTTAATAGCCAGATGCATTGGTTTTTGTGACATCACAAAAATAATTTATTTAAAACAGCCTTTTTGCAGCTACATTTACATGTAAAGGCCATAACGACTGGGAAATGAAGAGAACAGTGATGTTTATGTAATACATCAAACTCTTTGATTAAAAAAAGGCGAAGAGAATTCACATTTATTTAATATAAGCCAACTCAGACATACAGTTTTGTCATTATAGTGATGATATAGAAGTTAATTTTACACATTTTCTTGCAAATACTGTTTGTATGTATGTCTTCTAGGAGAATATCATTAAGTAAACAGGATGGTCATTGTCTGATCTTATCGTACAACACGGAACTGTTTATGGGCTCTTATATGTTGTAAAAGATTATTGTAGAAGCTAAAATTGGTTGGCCAGAGAATGAGGGATGGCGGGAAAAATGGTGATCTATTTGTGTGTGTTTGGCAGGGTGTGGCGTGCACTGCTATGTTGGTCGCAGTTGTGACTAAGAAGCTTGCGCTAAACAAAGGAGAGAAGCATGTGCACTTCTTCATGATGGACATCCAGATTTCCAAAGAGGTGAGGAGCATACACTGCCACATAAAGGTCCCAAAACACGTTCAGCTGGACTTCACGCAAAGACTACTTGACAGAATACAAGAACTGCAGTTATATGGCTGCATGCTGTAGAAACAGAAACGCCCATCTGGAACTGTGATTGGTCAGGATGATCACAGAACACAGTAAACCACACCTGATTGGTTAGAGCTCCTATGAGATCAGTGTTGCAAAGGCCAATATCACAATAACGAATAACAAATAATAGATACATTTATAGTGCATACACACCAGTTTGGTGTGTGGTACAATTTTGCTTTCATCAAAATGGCCATTAAGTCCAAGTTAAGACCACAGCAGATTGGCCCGATGAAGACTGTAATGGTCAAAACGTTGCTATAACAAATCAGGGAGCTTTGTTAAAACAGTTTACACACATTCATCTTTTCTGTTGACAAAAATGGAACAAAACATAAAATGTACCATAACTTTTTCATAACAGCACTTGCTGTTTGTTTTTTTTTTCTCAGTATGTTTCGACAAATAAACAGGATAGCGCTTTACATTACAGGTTGCAGATTCATTGATAATTATACGTTAATTGAATTATAATTACCTAGTTATTACATTAATAAATTAATAATTAAATGCTCATTATTTGTACAGTTAGTTAACTGTCTATTGAAACATCCTTCTGTTGTTGGTTTTAATCAGTTTTAATCATGTGGGTCAGTTAAACTTTGTAGTGTTATTTTAATGAAATTGAGGTGTCAGATTTACTTGATAAGTGTTTGTTTGGTCAGTGTAATCTCAACATCTTTCCCTTCGGCTCCTGCATTTGCATTTGGATTTGCATATTCTTCTTGTTTTGCTCGCCCTCTTTGTGTTGTCTTTGCCTCTGGCCTACCTTCCATTGTGTGTGCACCTTTCTTATACTCCAGGGTTAACCGCCTAGCCAACGCTGTTGTACGCTATATATCGCTGCTGTCGGAAGAAAACCTTGTACGTCTATTTTTGACGTTTTTCAGTTTTTGACATAATTTGAAAATGCCTGTTTCCCTTTACATTGTGTGTACATTTTATGACGAATGGACCAAAAGAAACAGCCCAAAATTACCTGGAAAAAATTCTGGTTAAAAATTTCTTACATTAAAAGTAGAGTATGTTTTTTTCTTCTGCTGTAAAGTTACCATTTTGGAAACACAAGGTTTTCTTCTGACAACAGCGATATGCAGGTTGCAGTGTACCTCACTGCTGAGTGTAATTCTACAGCAGCTCAGTAACTCAGTAATAACTTGACGAAATGATGTAGCTTTACATTGTGTGTTTTATGTATCAGCGTTTACTGCACAGTCAATGAATAATTATGCTATGAATTAATAACAAGCTAAACATTCCGTTAACAGTGTACTCAATTACTAATTACTAAGTACATATTAATACATATTAGTACATATTAATTAGTAATAAGCAATGCTAAAAGAACTCTTAATTAGTATATAAATAACATGCTGTTAATGACTTATTAATGACATAATCTTTCATTTGCGACCCTAAATGTGAAGCATGACTATAAAAAGTAATTGTGCATTCAATTGTGCATGAGTGTGTTCTCTGTAGACAATGCGTTAAACGTGTTTTCATCCAGAAAATCAACAAAGCTTGTAACTTTTGCGCACGACTGTATTTGTTAAGTTCCTAAGTATGGACTTCAAACCAAAACGGTAAACATTCTCAAAAAGCGCACCGGCCCAAGAGACGTAGCAGCACGGGCGGAGGTGGCGTTATTTTCCGCGTTGCACGCGTGTTATGGTTTCTGGGGCTTTTTATAATATTATTTTTTCCTTAAATAGGGCATTCCAAAGGGCAGCACAGTGTGGGAAAACAGCTTAGGGTGGGCAGGCAAAAAAAAAAAAACCTGCCGATCTCTTAATGGTCTCCAAAAGGCGTCAAAGGGAGGAAACAATCAGGTCCCTGTCAGGAAAAGGACTTGTGTCAGTCCAAGAATGCTTTTGGGCATGGACAGGAAACGGTGTGCACGCTGATGTGCGCGTCCTGTGAGTGCGCGAGCACGAGTGGGGGGTTGTAACAGTGGACAGCAGGGGGGGAAATATGGATGCTGAAAGGATGGGAGCGTTTGGCACCGCGTTAAGCCCCTCTAACAGGATCCATCTGTTTGCTTATCAGAGGGAAGGAGAAGCCCGAAAATAAACGCGCTTGGCGGAAGATGCTAGAAGAGTTTCCATAGATGAAAACAGAGAGATAAAAAAGGGGGGAAGTGTTGCTTTGAGTGGGCATCTGTTGTTGGTGGTCAGGTGTTCCATGCGCACAAGTTGCATAAGACAGTTTCCCATCACCGCTGATGTCCTCACATGTCACCGTAGGCTTGTGTTACATCCTGTCACAGGCCGCATCCTCGCATCTGCTGCCATGTGGGCTCTGTTTGGGTGCGTCCCATTGACCTTAACCTCTTAAAGGAATACTACAGCATGTTTCAGCCTAATCTCTGTCTGCTGGATATGTATCATATTCAGAATTGGCATAGGCACCAACTTTGGAGGGGCATTGGATCATTAGCCTTCCCAAAACTAAAGAGGGGGGCAACACCCTCCCAATCTTAGCGCTATGATGGTGAAACCACACAGAACAGCGTGAAACCAGCTGCTGTAGTGAAACTGGATTTAACAGGAGGGATTTTAAGCATGCAGGTTCACTAGGGCCAGTTTGAAAGTGCAGTGCCAATGGAAATGAAATAGTTGCTGGGTCTGTTTGTGCTTGGGCGACTTTTTAAATGACATGCAACCACAGAAAAAAGCTTGAAAATGCAAATGAATTGTCTTTGAATGTTTCTTGATCCTATTCTTGAATAGCTAGCAATCCAAGGACACACAGGCATGTACACTAAGAGAAGCGGCAGAAGATCGCGGCTTGATTGGAGTCATTGCTTATAGTCAGCTAAACATTCTAAACATTAAGGAGGGCGTATGTGCATGTCATTTTAAAGCCGGTTTAAGGGAGTCTGGCCACTTCCTCTTTCTCCCGTTAAATCATAAGAGTGGCTGCAAAATGAGTCCTCAAAGAATGGGGTTGTATGGAGCTAAACGGCTAAAAACTGAAAGGCTTCCTTTAATTTTGGAAAGGATAATGAGTTTTTCCTTTAAAATTAAAGAAAACTTGACTGTTTCTTTCTAATTTTCTATGGAAAACACATTTTCCATTTCAGAAGGACACTAGCATTACTGCTTCTGAGGGCTGATTGGTTGGCGAGCTGAGCTTATTGGCTAAGTGAACTGGTTTGCACTTACTGATGTCATTAATGTACATCAGGCACTGTTAGAACATCCTATAAGTGGAAAATGCTGAAAAATTAGTGGTGTTGAAATATTGTATGCTGTTCTGTGTTGAGAAAATGAGCGCATTTCTATCTATAAAAATGTTTACGCATTGACAAACTATGATTTTGCACTAAATCTCATAGCAACCCATCCACTTTATACTCTCTCTGTTGCGCCCTCACTACACATTCTCTGATAATAATCACAAAAGGAGTTGTCACTGTCTGAATTCGGAACATGAAGTTATACAGTGATGGCAGAAAGTCATGCAGTATTTGATTACGTCATTAAGAACGCCACATCGTTTTTAGTAGGCAAGCTGTAACTCAGACTGTTCTCTGTTAGAGCTGATCACCATTGCTGCAGCTACAACCCTGCAGGTGAATGAAGACCAAGCAAAATAGACCAGAATGACCAAGCAAAATAGACCAGAATGACTGCAACAAAGATGAAGATATGAGGACACTTTAGATGCAGTCTCCAGGAAAGGCTACGATTAGAAGATTAGCCTTACTGGTGGACTGGATCCACACATCTGAATCTGCACATTTCACAAAATCAGAAAACCCCAATGCATAAGATTTCACAAAAACTAATAAGTGTGGCTACAAAAACTGCCAGTGCTCTTAAATATTTTTTAAAATTATATCACAATATAAGCATAACAGTAGGCATGCTAGGCTATCTTGTTAAAACTATTGAATTATTCTGTCAACCACACAGGAAGAACTATACACTAACTCAGTGGGAGTGAGTGCTGTTTCAGGATAGATTTGTTACAGAAGTGGATCAAACTCACTGTTTTTTTTAATCTACCAATATCCCATCCAGGCTTTTCTGCTGATATCAGCCCGATACCAGTACCCATCTATAAGCCCAGTTCTAAAAAAAGTTGGGACAGTATGTAAAATGCTAATAAAAACAAATAAATATATTTGTATATAGTATATAGTATGAATTACTAAGTTATTTTTGATAATGGTACAAAAACACAATATTTAATGTTATACTTGCTTTGGCAACATGTTCCAAAAAATTTGGAACAAACTGATCCAGTTTAGGTCAAAAGTAGATCAAAGTAGGTCAAAGTAGATTTATAAATCACTGCTTTCTGGGTTTTTTTTTTACCTACTGTCGTAACTTTTTTGGAGTTGGGTTTGTATATGAATTTGCCTTCTCTTTTATAGTTACCGGAGTATGTAATGAAAGTCTGGACCAATGGGTTGTGAAAGTTAGGGTTTTAACTGTCACTGTCAGTGTCTTGCCCTGATAGATTTAAAGGAAAACATCTGGACACGGCCCCTGACGGATGCCCTAATAATAACCACCATCACACTGCCAGAGGGGGTGTGACATCATCAAAAAGGTCCTGAGTTATAACGCTACTGTCAGCAGGATGACATCAAGACAGGAATAGAATCAAAGACACCAGGAACAGTATAAAAAAGAAAGCTGAGGAATGCCTGTGGGAAAGTATTCAGACCCTTTTGTTTTTGTTATTTACAATTTAATATTTATATTTTGATATTTAATATTTCCAGTGCATATATCCACCTCAAATTTACACACATAATGTCTTTTGATTTAAAAAAAAAATGCATTCGTAAGTATAAACAAAGATGTGTTTAAAAAAATTACATTGATAATTGAAAGTATTCAGACAACATAATAACGTTAGTACTTTCCTGTGAAGCTATTATTGGCAATTAGAACTCTGAGACATCTACATTAAGAAGTAATTTGATTTTGTTGCATTGTGGTTCAGTTTCTATTGGCAAACAAATCTTACATTTTTCTAAATTATGAGGCTCCATCTGATGGACAATTTCACAGTTCTCCTTAAATTTCCAATGGGATTCAAGTCAGGAGATTGGCTAGGCCACGTATCTTCTATTTTTTAGAAAACAGTCTTGGGCTTTTTTTGGCTGTTTGGGGTCATTGTCTTATTTAAACATCCATCTTCTCTCTTTTCTTGGCTGATGAAATCAAATTCTGTTCTAATATTTCCATGCTTTCTTCAATGATGTGTGTAATGTCCCAGTGCTGTTTGCAGAAAAGTAGCCCCATTTCACGATGCTCCCACCTTCGTACTTCATTGAAGGTGTTATTAGAGTCATACGCGCAACGCTTCTTTCTTCAAACAAGACGAGCTGAATTATTGCCACAGTTCTGTTTTTGTATTGTCTGTCTGGAGTTCATTGTACTTTTGTCCCATCACCACATTTTGTCCACACTAGACATGTAAATCTGTGAAGTGCTTTCAAACTGAAGAATGCAGCTTCTATACTTTGTGCCAGGAAGCAGCCTCAGCAGTCTCCGCCCACATGTAGACGGAGCATCTGACATCTGAGCTAAATGGGCTATCGTGATTTTGTTAGCATCATTCTGATCACCTATCTGCACATCTGTGTGAAATGTGAAGCATTTTCCTGCTCTATGTGTTGTGACTGAGCTTTTCATAGCAATATATATGAATCATTCTACAAAATTGGTTCAGAGTTGACAACCCGTTTCAGATTTTTAACTGACTTGGATTTTAGACTAAAATCTTTTTGCTTTAAATGACCCTGTACCTTAATAATATATATTTTATTAAAACAAATGATTAAACATTCCATTTTGTCACTACTAATACAATCACGCATGACGGTGTTGCCACTGACTTCATTTGTGTATAGTACAGTCTTTACTTGCATTTATGGATGCAGCGGCGAATGATGTTTACTGACAATATTCCCAATATTCCCAAGCCCATCTGCTGATATCCATCCCAGAAGGTCTGGTTTTTGGTGCAGTGCCATCCAAGAGATTAAAGATCATGGCATTCAGTTGTGGTTTTTGATGGTCTTTTGATGATGTTGTGCACTGTAGAGGGTGAAGTACCTAAAGTCTGTGCAATCACTAATTGAGGAACGAAGCATTGTTCTTAAACTGAGGCGAGTCATAAAGGACCAGACCTTTCCTGGATGCTCCGTTTATATCTATGCATGATTATATCAACCGTTTAAGATGTTTTTCACAACGTCCCTAGTCTTAAATCGCTCCTGTCGCAACTTTTTTGGAACATTTTGCAGCCATTAATTTCAGAATTAGCGCATATTTATAAAACCTATGCAACTGATAAGTTAAGATCTTGTTAAGATCTTGTCTTTGAACTGTTTTTGTTTAGGTCCAAGTATGTTTAAAAATATAACTGCTTTGTTTTTATTTGCATTTCATTTTTTAGGAACCAAGCTTTGCATATCACTTCACAAATATTTGGCTACATCTCAGGAGAAACACTACTTGTACATGTGGGTCTTGGCATGAAAGTGTTTGGGAACCCTTGGATTAATGGACTTAGTGGTCTTGGTTCCTCTTAAGTGCTCTTAGGGGGTTTTTCATGCCGCTGTCATTCTTGGCTTGTTCATTATGGGTTTTCACCCACATTTTTGTAAGGCTGCGTTGTGATGTTCGTGAAAAGTACTATACAAAGGAAACTGAGTTGACGTGATTGAATGCAGAATTGACTAATTGATCTCTATGCTACAGATCCGTAACGCTGCTGCTAACGTGCTGAGAGAATGCTGGCTGCTCCACCGGACCACCCAGGCCAAGAATAACAATGGTGAGCACCGGCACCACCAAAGATGCCTGCTGGAGGCCATCCGTGTGTAAGTAACCTGCTATGTGCCATCACCTGCCTGTTATGTGTAACCCTCATGTAATTTTAGCCATAGATGTTGTTCATGCAAGCTGCTTTTTACATGTTGTAAGTGAATGCGATGTTTGGAAAAAATATTTGGATGCAATTTTTTCACATCGAAACCAATACACATTGTGTGCAACACAATTCTTTTTAAAAGCAGCATGAAGAGCTTCATCACTTCTTTCAGGAGATGAAGATTTTGAGCAGAACTCAGTTTGAGCTGTTTCTGGACATGCTAACACATTTGTCAAAAAGTTTCAGTGGCTAAAACAAAGCTAATCTGTCAGCTTGGTTGTCACCATGCCAACGCCAGAGACAACAATGAGTAGTCAGTGAGTTCATATATATATATATATATATATATATATATATATATATGTATATATACACATATAAAATACCTGTGTAATTTCCCCAAATCTCCTCAAATAGTCAAAGGTCATAACCTAGATGTTCATAAAACAGAATGTTATGCCACAAGAAACACTCAATACTCCACAATTATGTACTGTATGAATCTGTAGTTCTCTACAGACTGGATTAAAATCATTCTACAATTATTACTGTCAGACTGTAAAACTACACACACTGCAGATTCATACTGGATTAAAATCACTCCACAATTAATACTGTAAGATTATAAAACTACACACACTGCAGATTCATACTGGATTAAAATCACTCTACAATTATTACTGTCAGACTGTAAAACTACACACACTGCAGATTCATACTGGATTAAAATCACTCCAAAATATCTGACTTATACGTAGATATTGTATCATATAATCAATAATAAATAAATACATATCTGCTTTTCCAACCTGAAGAAGCAATTGGCTGGCAACCTAACTTAGCTAGCTAAATAAGCTGTTGCATTCTTTTTATTTTCTTTTATGATGTTGTTTTAGAGTAACAAGCACATCAGCTCTTTTTTAAAATTGAATATCGCTGTTGTCGGAAGAAAACCTTCTATCTCCATTTTTGATCTTTTTCAGTTTTTGACATAATTTGAAAATACCTGTTACCCTTTTACATTGTATGTAAATTTCATGATGAATGGATCAAAAGAAATGCCCCAAAATTACTTGTAAAAAAGTCTGGTTCCATTGACTTACCATTGACATTAACAGTAAAGGTTTTTTCCTTCTTCTGTAAAGTTATCTTTCTGGAGATACAAGGTTTTCTTCCGACAACAGCGATATGTCATTTAAAGTGCCGGTAAACTAATTAAGTTAATGTAAGTGAATAGTCAGCATTGTCTTGAGTACTGAAAATGTGAACTTAGAGTAATTCAAAGTAACTACCTAGGTCGTTTTTCATTGAACAGTGTTTTTACTCTTACTTAAGTTGCTTTTTGTTAATAGTTAATAGTTAATAGCTTGTTCAAGAAATGTTTTGGCATGTTAGTTTCAGGTTCTGTGTTCTTATAGCATTTATAGCACTTGATTCATTTTTCTGTGGATTCTTATTGTAGAGGGCGGGGCTAAAATCCACCCAGGGGGTGTATATGTGTATGTGAGCTGGGAGAGAGACACGTGAGCTGGGCAGCAAACGAGCTGTTAGAGAAAAACTCCACTAAAGCGCCACAACTTGTGCAAAAGCAGTGTCTCTTTTAATAGCGGTGAACACTAAAATACTTGTACTTTTAATTAAGTAAATTATCACTCCAGTAGCAGTTATGTACTCTTACATAAGTAGGGATTTTCATTAGACTTTCCCTCCCTGGTTTTTGCAAACTGGTAAAGTAAATTTGCTCATTAAATCATTTTGAAAAGCCAGGTAACAGGCAGTGTATCAATCTTTATTATCACTGGACTACTACCAAGTCCACTGGTTTCGCCATCTCCCTGTCGATTGTTGTCCAGTATCTATTGTTTACAATCTGCAACTCGCACCTTCCTGCAGATAAGGAGAAGATTGGGAGAGGAGGTGTGCAGTTGGCCGGCCTCACACTCACACCAAGCACAGGAAGTTCAGATGTGTGAATTTCTGCGTGAGCTTTTAACAGCGTTAACTGAAGGAATCTGGTCTGGCCTTCACAGTGTTCCACGTTGTGTGTGAGAACGAGCAGCTGAATGAGCGTGTGTCCGAGGGCGTCCGCGAGGGTGGAGGGATTTCGGCTTTCCTGTTTTACAGTTAGCGGGACCACTAAAAATATTCTGGAAAGAAAGCTGCGACGGTAGCTTCCAATAACTCACAGTACTTTTAATACACAAACAAAGTACATCATTATTCATACCGGATTAAAATCACTCTGTAGTTCTTAAATTTAGACTGTAAATACTACACACTCTTCAGATTCATGCTGGGTTTAAAAACTCTCTACAATCATTACTGTCAGGCTGCAAAAACTGACTGCATTGCAGATTCATTCTGGATTAAAATCAGTACTTTAAATATACAAACCATCAAAAAGTACACATAATTAGTTACTGTATTTAAGTACTTTCCTAAGTATCTATACATTATTAAAGGGGCATTCCAGCTTAAAACTAGCATTTGATGTTACTTGTTATGTTATGTAGTATTCTGCAGCGCAACACTGCACCACTCAGCCTCATCGGTTTGACAGAATTCATGAATTTGTACCCATTTTCAGATTCTCACTACAAAACCCAGCATGCAACATGCAAATAACCATTGGGAATCCCTCCCCATGGCGAGGGACCGTAAGCATAACCACTGACATAGTGGCTAATACAGACACAATATTCAGTTTGCTAATAGTAACATTCTATCTTCCTTCATTTGAAACCAAAAGAACATTTTAAACAGCCTCCCCTCAAATATCTGCCCAAAGTTCTTGTAAGTTCCCAAGAGCTCCTGCCACCTTTAACGTACATCATCAGCCAGGGGTTTCCTGGTCTTTAAACTGGAAAATCTCACTCTAAAACATAATGCAGGACACCACTGTAAGAGGTGAGAAGGCATGTTTACATTTTAGATGGAGTGCCCCTTTAAAAGTTTGTGGTTTGTTTTGTTTTTGTTTTTTTGTTTGTTTTTTAATTCTTTTTGTGCAGATTTTACTGTTATTTCACTGCATTTCAACGTAAAATACCCTACTTTTTACTCCACTACTTTGCGCAGCACATGTCAATATTCTTTTCCATGAAATTGAAGAAAACAAGATTGTTTAAAGCAGTGAATGAAGGCCTACAGGAAGACAAAAAAAACCTTTTGGAAAATGTTTGGGAAATTTTCGAAACAGCGATGTTTGGGTGCCACAGTATGCAATGTGTGTGACTGAACATAAAATATGAACAGATTAGACTTTTGTAAGTTTGTTTTAAACCTGACATCAGGCCGAATGCTGTCAAATTAACTGAAAACTTTCACTTGCAAGTGGACAATTAACTTTGGGGCAGTGAATTTTGTTTGTAGCGTCAAGGGGCAAAAATTAGATGAAGCTTCTTTGTGCGCCATTGTTGCATGGCATATGTTAACGCTGTTTACAGTTTCTAATCATTTTCTGTTTCTTTCTTACCATTAAGTTCATTAGGTCCACCAGAGAGTACTTCCACAAGTGGTTAAGAAACGTTGGTCTAAAGTAAGAAAGAGAAGACAATTTCAAAACTAGTCATAGCACAGCAGATCTTCTAACTGTCTGGAATGTTTGCCTCATTTTCAAACTCTGCAGCCACACAAAAGTCCTGATTAGAAATTACTTATTAAAAATAATATAACATGAATCACCTCATTAATCGGAAATAACTCATTTTCCTTTTGAGGGAAGCACGGTATCAGGGAGGGTCTCTAAACTAGCTGAATGTTTTGTCTCAATAGGCGGAGGTGGTGGGAGAGAGAGGTTATGATTAATATTATTTTTCTCCACTCTCTGGTACACAGTGATAAGTACTGAGGAGACATGTAGGTTCACTGGTCATTTTGGATAGCAATTAAAATGTCTATATTTACATTGTAAAGATCATGACCCCTGGTTCCTATCACTACCATTTTACAGACATACGAGTTGGTAGGTTTCTCTATAATGCACTATTTTGTATGAAACCACTCTGAATAATGTGGTTTACTTCTCACTGATTGAATTATGCAGGAAGTTTGAAAAAAACGGAGGAATTCAACTTTAAGAGGCCATTTTGTTGGCCATTCTCTCCTCAGCTTCATTCGGTGTTCTTTTTTTTTTTCATAGGCTACCATTTCACACAGTGACACGCAGACACTGGCCATTTCTGCATGCTTCAGCAGTTACTGCCTGCGCTTCCCCCCTGCAATATTGGTTTCCGTTCTGCTTTTTTGGAGCAGCAAATTTTCATCTAAAGTTAGGCCAGCCTCAAAGCCACTATGTCAAGCAATGTCAAGCAATAGATCGGCTGCATTACCTAACCATACCAACTCCTTCCAGAACAGTATTTATACATCAGGACATCATGAAACATGAGAGCGTGTCCACTTTACTTGGCGCCAGTTTAGTGTATCATAGTCCACCAAACAAACATACGGGGCTCTCAAGTGCCACCAAGTAGCATATCATCGATATCTTGTGAAAAAGAAAAAGGTAACTTTATAGAAGAAGGAAAAAACGTTCTTAACATGTTAATGTAACTCGCAAGATTGTATTCATTTTAGACTGCTCCTGTTGAAAAAAAAAAATCACAAAAATCTATGTGGACTAATGTGGACCCTGCTAATTATTAGGGTCAGGTGTTTTAGCCATACCCACTGCTAACAGGCATATAAAATCAAGCACGTAAGTCATGCAATCTCGATAGACAAACACTGGCAGTAGAAAGGGTTGCACTGAAGAGTTCAGTGACTATATGTGGCACTGTCATAGGTAGTCACCTTTGCCACAAGTCAGTTTGTGAAGAAATGGAAGAGCAACAACAGCTCAGCCACGAACCAGTAGACCACTCAAACTCGCTGATCCTCTGTTGCATCACGGCCTACGGAGTTCAAAACTGCCTCTGGAAGCAACATCACCAGAAGAACTGTACATCAGGAGCTTCATGACATAGGTTTTCCTGGCCTAGCAATTGCACACATGCCTAAGATTACTGCGCAATGTCATAAGTCAACTGGAGTGGTGTAAAGCATGTCACCGCTGGACTGGAGCAGTGGAAATGTCTGGCAGATGCCAAGTATAAATTACCTACCAGAATACACAGTGCCAGCAGTAAAGTTTGGTGGAGGTGGGATAATGATCTGGAGATGTTTTTCAGGCTCCTTAGTTCCAGTGAGGGGTGATGTTAATGCTACAGCATACCAAGATAATTTTGTCAATTCTATGCAGTTAAATGCAAGTTTGGTCAGGAGGAACTCCAGCGGCCTGCCCAGAGCCCTGACCTCCACCATGCTGAACAGAGGCGAACTGGAACGTTGATTGCCAGCCAGGCCTTCTTGTCCAACATCAGTGTCTGACCTCACAAATGCTCTTTTGACACAAATTCCCTCAGACACACTCCAAAATCTTGTGGAAAGCCTTCCCAGAAGAGTGGAGGCTGTTAAATCCTCAAAGAGGGCAACTCCATATTATTTCTCATGGTTTTGAAGTGAGATATACCTAGCAAGCTCATATAGGTGTGGTGGTCAGGTGTCCACAGGTGTCCATATAGTGTATATGGGACTCCCAAGTGGCACAGTTTAGCATATCATCTCTGTCATATGAAAACCTCCTATAACCGTACAAGAGAAGGAAATGTGTGAATGTAACTTGCAAGATTGTATTCCAAGTCATTTTGGGCCATTACTGTTGGTTCATTCTTCATTAATTATTCACACAATACACAAACGTTTTGTTATGATGGCGATGATAAATTTCATCAAAGCATATCAAGATGAAAGTAGCCATTTACCGGCTATTTTTAAGAAGCACGTTTACTGCTGACCTTTGTGTACAGTAATACTAAGTGACATCTTTTTTTATTCTCTCCATAGATTTCGCCACCTGCGGCTGAAGCAGAGGAAGCTGAGAGACTATACCAGTGAGATGGTGGACCTCTCCAAGGTAGAAATTTACACTGAATTAATTAGATTAGGCTCGAATTGTGACAAATTAAAGGAAAAACTGACAAGGTGTAAAGTACCACAAGCTGCCAGAACAGCTTCCTTGTGCCTTTCATAGATTCTACAGGTATCTGGAGCTGTACTGAAGGGTCAGAACACCTCAGTTGGTGTTTTAATTATGGTGTGGTGAGCGCAGTGTTCAGTTGGGTTGATATTTGGTGACTGTGAAGGCCATAGCGTTGGATTAGGGCTTGAACATGCTGAAAGAAATGACTCCCATCAGGATGGGGATGTTTCGCCATAGGGTAAAGGTGATCGGTCATAATAACTTTGTAGTGATTTACAGTGACCCTTCCCTTTAATGGTACCCAAATTTTGCCATAATAAAGCCCCCCCCCCACAGCATAACAAAGCTTGGCGGACTTGGTGTACACTGCACATTCACTCTCCCACTTGTGGAGAATGTGGTGAGGGATGACTCATCTGCCCATATCACTTTTTTCCACTGAACTTCCAAATGTGCATTCATCTGTAATGGAGACAGACTGTCCTTGACCGTTGACACAGTCTGATTACATCTTGCAGTGACGTTCTCGGTCATCTGAGGGACGGCAGTTCTTCTGTTTTCCCTTGTGTGAGCATCGTGGTCACCAAATATGCACTTTTAACCACCGTTTCCAGCACTGTTTACTGATGTCTCTCCCATAGATCTAGATGCAAATGTTACTTTAGTCACTGTTCCTGTTGCACTGACCAGTTGAGGAGTCTTTGTGACCGAGGCTCCCGCCATTCTATCCCCAATAATGATCTCTCTTTCAAAGTCTTTTGCCAGATTGATCCAATATCAAGTTCAGCATTTTTATACGTACAACAGAACATGGTAGGATGTTAATTGCTAAACTGGTATAATGCAGTGCCTGTCTGAAGACATCTGGATTTATGCTTCACCATTCTTTTATTTAGCCACACTCACTGGCCATTTTATCAGAAACACCTACCATATACTTGCACTTTGTAGGTTTACTGTTGACTGTACTTCATCCATTACTGCTCAGTTTATCATCCTCCTTCTACCATGTTCATTAATGGAAAAGGACCACTGTAGGACCACAACTGACCAAATATTATTCCATTCTCAGCACAACAGTGACACTGACATAGTAGTGTGTGCCGTGCTGTTAGTAGTACCAGGTATCAGCCACAGGGTGTTTAACTTGTGGACACTTACTGGCTATTTTATTGGAAACCCCCTCCTTGTAGGTGTACAGTTAAAAACTAAAGCTAATCTCTTGCCTTGTTTAATTTGTATTAGTCATCCTTCAGACATTCATCATTCAGAATGGTCCAGCACCCAAATATCTGGCCCTTTGGAGGTCTCTTTCCATTGATGGTTGAGATAGAGGGCAGATGTTAAATGCTACACTACGTGAGAGGGGGTGGAATTATTATGAGCAGATCATATAGCAAAACTATGGAAAAATAGATTGCCTGCCGGTGAAGACAAATGTGCCAGGCTACAGCCAAACGGGAAAAAGAACCAAGTCAGATAAGCTGAAGCAGAAAACAACACAGTTGTGCTGGTTACTGTAGCTCTTAAAATCAGTCCAAAAACTGCTAAATGCAATTTCAATGTTGTGGCTATTTTCAGACCGTTCTATGCAGCTTGACTACCATGGCTTTTCTCAGGCTTTAGTTTGGAGGTGGGGGGCCTCCAACTCCTCAACTGTAGTATGGCTTCTATGGCAGCAACAGATGCGCTCCAGTCTGTAACTTTATGCCTACAAACTGCAGATATATGGTAGGTGTTTTTGATAAAGAGGCCAAAGAATGTATGTACAAGGTAGGTGCAGCTAATAATAAACCGGTAACTCAGTGTAATCAGCTGGCAGCTTGGTGTCCTCCTTGTAAGCAATGGAGGAGTGTTTGTGTTGACTGGAAAATATGAAAAACAAATGGCTAACACAAATAAAAGCAGAAAAACAATCTGTCAGCATTTTTGAAAAATGTTTTTTTTTTTCTGCAGCGGTCAGTTTGCGCATGCAAAGTTTTCCCCATTGTATTGTTTTTGCATAGCCACAACCATTTGATCAGCAGCAAACCAGAAATATGCAAAAGGTTTTAACAAAAGTGCTACTTACTGCGTATTTAAGTGCTCAGACTACTGTCCAGTACATTTCATTGTCTACCGCTCATTGTTATTACATGCAGAGACGTTTAAAATGTCTCTTGAGACTTGTGACTTGAAGTCTCTCACACCAAAAAATCTAGCTTAAGTCAATGAGGGAAGCCGGGCATAGCAAAACATTGTGAGATTTACAGTATGTCAATTTCTTGATACAAAGAAATGTTTAAAAGCATAAAGTTTATGCTTGTGTAAACGAGTGCAAAAATTCTATTCGATTAGTCAAATATTGTTTTTGCTCAGCTTATTTTAAAACAGAGACGCAAACCTTTAATTCTATGAAATAAAGGGTTGAAATTGCAGTAAGTTTTGTTCGGAGCTGAAGCACTATAGTGGCAGTTATTTTCTAATTGCTGCAGCAACACTAAAATAATATTTTCATGGTATTTACATTACTGTGCAAAATTCAGAGACCACTCTTATTTAATTTTGGGAGATTAGATATAAGGTAAGGAAGGGGAAACTAAAAGGAAAATAAGTGCAAAAAAATAGGAGTTTCCAAAACTGGAGTTCAAAAATATCTTAAAAGATACAGCAAACATGTAGAGAAGTTTTTACCAAGAAAAGAAAAAAGACAAAGCAGTGCAGAAGTCCAGACCTCAACATCACTGAGTGTTTTTGGATTACTTGGAATGTGAAAAGCAGAAAATGCAACCAATTTCTGAGGCTGAACTTTGGAGGTGTGGAAAAATATCCCTGCAGATTTCTTTAAAAACTGGAAGTGAGTCTAATGAAAAGAATGGTAGCTGTAATAAAGGTAAAGAGTGGACACTGAAAAAATTATATTATATTTAGTTGTTGAGGATTCTGTGACATTTTGTCTTAAATATGTTTTCTACGGAAGCCCTAAAGGGCCATGGATTTGCATGTTTTTTTTGGTTTTTTTTTACTTTTTTCATGATAATGTAGTTTACATTAGTTTTCTTGAGATCTCATGATATTTATGTTGTTAAAATGGCAAAACAAATGTTTTCTCAAGATCTATAGATTTATATCATTATCAGAACATAGTGGACATTGTTTTAACATTCATTGTGTTGTGATAATGAAGTAAATAACAAAGGATCAATACTAATTAATTAAGAAAATAAGTCATTATCACAAAAAATGAGTCCAGTGCTCTTTAAGGCTTCCATAGTTTTGTGTTTTTTCCAGACACTGAAAAATCAACTATTTTGAAACTGTTTTGACTAGAAATTCAGTAAATTAATACTGGTCTCTGGACTTTTGCACAGTACTGTACACGCCATTGGCGGCCTTTGTTCGGTGTACTGAAGTGGTGTTTACATACTAATTACTTCATATCACTGATAAATATTCAAATGGCTATACCTAATATGGTCATAGTATCTGAGTGGAGCACCAAAACACATAACTGTCACCTACATCACTGATTGCAACCTTCTTTTCACCACTAGAACAAAAAAAAAGCATACTCAAGGGTCTCTGTTGCACCCCCAACAGATGCAGATGATCATGTGTGACCTGAGTGCAAACTGGAACAATTCCTACCGCGAGCTGGAGCAGCGGATCATCTCCATGGAGCAGAAGCTAGATGAGCTGGGTCAGTCTTTCCAGAGCACCTCCCAGCTGCTGAGCCAGGCCCTGCATCGCCGTCGCCTTGACCACAGGTACCCTTCCAGCCATATTCAACAGTGTGATTAATTGGAAAAGGGGGCAAAAGATATTACAGAGAGGGGCTAATCTCACCCAGTGAATATCTGCCAGTACTGGGTTATCTGTTTCTTAGGGCTGTTAAAGTCAATGGGTTATTGTAAATGTGTAAATGTGTTAAATTATTTGTCTTTTAAAGCATCATCTGAAACCCCGAACATCATATCTAACATGGTTTTATATCGACATGTCCTTCTGCCACAAAAAGTAGTGGCGTTTTGCATTACGGATAGATCCATAACAGTGTCGCAACATCAGGTTCAGCTCAGCTTTTTCGCCAGTCTGAAAAGCATTTCACAGGTGTAACAATGAAGAAGGCGGAATGCAGGTGCAGGTCCGAGGTTTTATTGCACTCCATGATGAAAAGGCCTAACCTAAGAAAGAACACTAGAAATCGAGACACTACACTGAAAGAAAACAAAGGACCGGGGAGAGCAAGAAAGACTCACAAGATAGAGCCTGTAAACACAAAGACTACAAGACAACAACCAGAGGTAGAAATACAACGAGAAACAGAACAAGAAACAGGTGAGGGGAAGGATGAAAAGGTGGAGCAATGGAGGAACAAGAAAACAAAAACAAAAATATATGGCGAAGAGACATGAGAAGGAAGGCCAACCTAGAAGGAAATAAATTGCTAAGATGGAAATATTGCAACAGCCCATCTTGTTGAATTGTATTCTGTCTGTTCCTGGCTGGTCCCAGCTTGTTATCAAACAATCAGATTGTGCCATCAGAACTAATTGTTGTATAAATAATATGTATACACTTATTGGTTGGAACATGCAGCCATCATTGCTCTGACTGAACGTCGGTGATGAAAATTAGAAACTGTGTTCACTGTATAAAAATGTGATTTTTGTGTTCAGGTTTCATGTAAATCCTGCGTGTACATAATGAAAATAATAGAATTGGAAAACTGAATGTAATAAACACATTCTAATGAAGCTTATTTTGTCGTATAGCTATAATGAAATGCACTGCTTTTTAAAAGGAAAACTCTTCAAGGTGAAATTCGAGCAAATAAATATGATTAATCATGATCAACTGCACAAAATAATGCAATGAATCGTGAGCAATTACTTCAATCATTTGACAGCCTTACGGTTTTTAGACAACTATCTTTCTTAAGGCATTATGATTATTGTAGGGGGTTATATAGCCTGGCTATATTATAGCATAGCCAAATAGAAAAGTTTGCCAAAATAATAGCAGCTTTACAGTCTCCAAATCCCCAAAATGTGCAGTGTAGCTTTTTTTTGTATATTGTTGCTGACGGAATGAAACATTGTATCTCCAAAATGGCGACAACCGAAGGAAAAAACATTCCTAACTTTAAGGGAAGTAAACCACGCGGGGTCAACAAACGTGCTGGCGCATCAAATTAGGTGTTTCTCGATGTTTCTATCAATATCTTTGCAATAATACAGCAGAGAAATACGGTTCAAACAGTTCCTGAATCTGTGGAGTTTGCCTCTTACTGTGTGTAATCAGTGGATTTGTATGTCCGTCGCTTGAAACTGGCCAATAGACATTGAGGCAATCACTGAGGTCTTACCCATCACGTCAAAAACCCTTCGTTTTATGATCAGTCGCCTCGGACACAGCTGTGAAATGGTCTGTTATAATGTTTGCAGCTGCTGAAGTTGCTGTATCTTACATTTCACTACTTTTGTGAACCTTAGACTTTGGTAAACCCTTTTCAAGCACCAAAACAGTTTGTCCACATGAGTAAAGCTACACTGATCAGCCATAACATTATGACCACCTCCTTGTTTCTACACTCATTATCCATTTTATCAGCTCCACTTACTATATAGGTGCACTTTGTAGTTCTACAGTTACAGACTGTAGTCCATCTGTTTCTCTGCATACTTTGTTAGCCCCCTTTTACCCTGTTCTTCAGTGGTCAGGACCCCCATGGACCCTCACAGAGCAAGTACTATTTGGGTGGTGGATCATTCTCAGCACTGCAGTAACACTGACACCACGGGTGGTGTGTTTGTGTGTTGTGCTGGTACGAGTGGATCAGACACAGCAGTGCTGCTGGAGTTTTTGAACACTGTGTCCACTCGCTGTCCACTCTATTAGACACTCCTACCTTGTCAGTCCACCTTGTAGATGTAAAGTCAGAGACGATTGCTCATCTGCTGCTGCACAGTTTGTGTTGGTCATCCTCTAGTCCTTCATCAGTGGTCACAGGACGCTGCCCACAGGACTCTGTTGGCTGGATATTTTTGGTTGGTGGACTATTCTCAGTCCAGCAGTGACACTGAGGTGTTTAAAAACTCCAGCAGCACTGCTGAGTCTGATCCACTCAGACCAGCGCAACACACATTAACACACCACCACCACGTCAGTGTTACTGCAATGCTGAGAATGATCCACCTCCCAAATAGTACCTGCTCTGTGAGGGTCCATGGGGGTCCTGACCACTTAAGAACAGGGTAAAAGGGGGCTAACAAAGTATGCAGAGAAACAGATGGACTACAGTCTGTAATTGTAGAACTACAAAGTGCACCTATATAGTAGGTGGGTGGTAGGTGATATAGTGGACAATGAGTGTAGAAACAAGGAGGTGGTCAGGATGTTATGCCTGATCGGAGTATGTTTTCACAAGAGATATTAAGAGTTTCTAAAACCACACTTCAGTTTTTCAGCGCTAGGGCGAAATGATCTCGTTACACAGTCCTCCAGGTCAAAATGGCCTGATTATAGAGAGAGAGCTGAGATTGTTCCAAACATTGTGATGTATAACATGTAGGTATCACGTCATATGCAAATGTCTTTAAAGACGCATTTATGAATATATGCAAAAATCAAGAAAATGCCCTTAGACCCCAAAGGGTTAATGGAAAATGATTTATTCCATGTAATTTTGGATGAATTCTCTTGGTCCTTTGGTCATTACATTTTGACACAATGTAAAGGGCAGCTGGCAAATTTGAATTACATCAAAAAATGAAAAACGACAAAAATGGAAATATGAGGTTTTGTCCCAACCGTGTGGATATACTTCTTATCCCTAATGACACAGCCCATCCCAAAATTTATTGAGTCTCATCTAAAGCCTGGTAAATGGCATATGGCCTCCATAAAGGCTCCACTGGCATTAGCATACCTGAGGTTTAAAGTGTTGACGTGGTAAGTGTGACAGTGCTTTAAATTCCCAGACAAACTGTTTACTGCCTACCATTCTATTTAGGTTTGATGTAAGCCAAAAGAAAAAGGTAATTGCTGAGTTCATGTCTTACTTTCTTTTTCCAAACAGGTGACCTGGGGCAAATTTCTCCTCCGAGACGCCACAGCGGAGGCCACTGTCCTCTCTATGTCCTCCGCTGATTAAAACTGCACAAGCCACTTACAGCGCGGTGTAAATGGAAGACTTCCATGATACGTGCACATTATTTTTTCCACGGACCTCAAGCTGCAATGACTTTCTGTGAAAAAGAAAGAATATCCCTATACCACACCAGGGTATGGGACAATGGGATAAGGACTTAAATGTATTTATGACAATATTTATGTTTATCTCTTATCTGCGACACTGAAAAAAAGAAAATAGAGAGCGGCTTCGGTGTTGGTTTGCTTTAAAGGTATGAAATCCTCTTGGAGGATCGTGAAACTGTTAAAATTTAATTTCCACTATTGCTTTGAATGCCAGTTTCCCTGGTTATTTTGAATGCTGTCTAGCTGGTCCATGACTTAAAAGGAAACTGTCCATTTTAGCGGTGATGCAGTCGACCCAGGCTGATGTATGTTAATATTGGTGTACTGCTCCCTCTGATAAATAACTATTGTCCTAACGTGCCTCTGTTGCTTTCGCCACTGCGGCTGAAGTGATTTCTCAGCATCTATGCCTCAGACTTTTGTATCTACTTCATCTATACTTCAGTCTTACACTCAAAGCAGATTGTGTACTCTAAACAGGTTTCGCCAGAGTAGTGAAAACCTCAGAATGTCTGGGTAGATGTGTCCATTTCTTTGGTGTCCATTATAATGCACAGATTATAAGCCCAAATGTTCTTTTGCACATTTTTTTTTTTTTTTTGCAGTTTATGCTCTACAGCAACCAACCCTCCTCCAGGAGATCTACTTTCCCGTAGAGTTCACCTGCAAGGAACTCAGTTCAAGCAGCATCACCAAAAACACAACTGTGAACTGAAACTTTCAGTTTCCACCTGTCCTTAGCTAAGACGGTCTGCGCTGAGTGAGCGCTTGTACAGATATTACAGTTCGTCTTCAGTTCCGTAAACAAACTTCCCAAATTCCCCCCTAGCAGTCTTCACGTTCTGAAAAAGGCTCAGGTTTTTCAGTTTTGCTTTGCAAATCAACACGCTTTACATCCAATCCCAAAATATTGTTTAAGACGTGTCCATCTCTTGCTTAGCAGTTCAGTCTACAACATGCAAAACAGCTTTCTGTTTTTTTCTACTGCACACAAACAAAACAATACTTTATTTGTCCATTTATATAAATAGATTTAGACTTTACTTTTCACATTTGTAGATCTGTGTTACAACTTGTTTCCTCAAAATGTAGCACCTGGTTAAGTAACATGCAGTTCTGATGCTGAGTTTTAAAGTGATCCAGTTCACCCAAATCTTACTCAGAGGCTGGTTTATTTGAGTGCGATTATCACCTGCAGATAAAAAAGGTTTTTCAAAGCATTTTCTTGATTACTGAATCTATTAAGGAGAATGCATACTGTGTCATGCAAATGCAACTGTTTTAACGGGGTTCACATATCAAAAGCAAAGGGGGGAAACACTGATTATGCTGTGAAAAGGCCTCACGTCTGATTGTCTCAAGGACATTGGTGTAACGGAAAAAAGCTCTTTACTGCCTGATCCTGTTTTCAAGTTCATTAAAACTGAAGTCGTGTGCTCAGAGGTAGAAACTAACTCCTCGTGTTAGGCAAGAACTCCCTCAAGTGGTTAAACATATATATTGCACTACAACAAGTGTAAAATGTACAACGGCATAAGTAGGTGTAAACATTGTGCCTCATTCACCAACTGTTCTTCCTAAGTTTTTTCTTAAATTTGTTCTAGAGAAGGGTTCTAAGAAAAAGTCTACGTCAGATTCATGACGTGTTCTTAAACCACAGAATTGTTTGCACCTTTGTGCTCTTGTGTGTGTGGTGTAGATTCTGTTCTTACCTAAGAACAAATCCCAAGACAAGAAAACATCGGTCAGTGTCAGAATCTTCATAAAAACTGCTTAAGTGGGTTTTAAGAAGAAATTTCTTCTTAAGAACAGTTGGTGAACGAGGCCCATTGAGATTCTGACATTCACCAATGTTTGTTCTTAGGTAAGAACAGAATCTCCACACGCTAAAGAGCACAAAGGTGCGAAAAATTCAGTGGTTTAAGATCACGTCATGAATCTGATATGTAAGGACAAACTTAAGAAAAACTTCTGAGTGGATGAGGCCTACTGTTCCCAGAATAATAAAATGTTTTTGGTCATAATCAAGAGTCTGAGACAGCTATACATATTGAAAGCCTCTGATACTTAAGCAAGTACAAAGCTGATAAATATATTAGATGTTATTCAGTTTTAGATCCTTTGCAAAGGCTGGACTCTGGAGGCAAAAGTGGGTTCTCTAGAACATGAGGAGTTTGTCTTTTCCTTACACTAACTAAAATCCAGCTGTTTGTTATATCTCTTGATCTACTGTATGCCTCAGCAACGTGGCAGCCAGATTGGTGGACGCCGTACAGCTTGCCTATAACAAAGAATTTTACACATAATGCAATGTTTTTTTATTTAGTGGAGGATTGGTCAGGTTTTTCTCAACTCTATGAAGCTACCTGACATACACTTACTGGCCACTTTCCTAGGTACTCCCATCTTGTATTTAGTGTCTTTATCCATTTGATCAGGTCCACTTACCAAATAGGTGGACTCTGTTGTTCAAGAACAATTGTAGTTCATCTGTTACTCTGCACAGCGTGAGGAGCAACAGAACTTTTGTATCTAACTTTACATCTACAAGGTGGACCAACAATGTAGATGCATCTAATGCCATTTTTCGACCAGGCAGTAGAGCATGGTACGGTTACAAATCTGAACACGAAACTATCCGTACTCTGTATGAGCACCTGTGTTCATTTCCTATCGCATAAAAGAACCATAAAAGTAGGCGGCACTCTCTTTAGCTTGTGTAATTCACCTTTTACTCTGCATTTGGTTTTATGTGAGAGTCACAGACAGCGATTCCGGCTGAGTTTTCCTTTTTTGAAATAATGGTCATCTGACTCTTGTGACAGTGATGATTGCGTTTGACCAATCAGTGGTTTGTACCATTACCAGCATCACCCATTTGTTTCTGCTCAGTAGCTAGAACTGTAACAGAATTTAGCATGTGTAGGATACGGCTCACTTGGCAGTGGAAGGGACATCAAAATGGGTGATCTCAGATTTGTAAGCACACTATACCACACTGTCTGGTGGAAATACGCCATAATAACTCTATGAACTCTAAGTAATTTATTTAAGGTTTTCCACTAGGCAGCACAATACGGAATGGTTGCAAATCTGAGATCACACATTTTTGTCATTTTTCCAAAGCCAAGAGCTGTTCTGTACCCAAGTACCCTTGCTGAATTTGGTTCCCCTTCCTGATGGGATGACAAGTGGGCAGAACCAAATCGTATGAGTGGAGCTAGAAATAGAGCAGGCCGTTGATTGGCCAAACACAGTCTTCTGTGGGGACACAGAAGTCAGATGACCGTTCTTATAAAACCAAAAAAATCCTAGCAAATCAAAATGACTGTGACTCTACACCTAAAACCAAACGGCAAGTAAAAGGTAAATGAGAACGTAAAGCTCCTCAATTGTCGTTACTGTTGTTTTTGTTGACTGTTAGAACCAGATTTGTGTGAGAAATCGTGCCACAGACCAAAGACTCTACTTCCGTGGTTCTGTTGTGCGATGTGAAACAGATACAGGTTCTCAACCAGGTGCAGATAGTTTTGGATTCGGTTTAGAATACGCACGGTGTACATAGTGTTAAGAACACCGCAGTGTCTGATCCGCTTGTACCAACACAACACCCACTAACTGAACCCACTAAGTGCTGAGAATGGTCCACCACCCTGGAGAGAAAGACTTGGACTATCTGTAATTGTTGAACTACAGTGTTCACCTGTATGGTAAGTAGACCTGATAAAACTGACAATGAGAGTAGATAGGGGTACCTAATAAAATGCACCAGCGAATGCCCATTGCATGTACCACTTAAGAAGCACTTATCCAATACAGTTTTGTTTAAAAATCAATCTGTTTTAATTTCAGAGTAATACATGAGTCAGACCCACCACCAATATGATCATACAAACCTAAGTCTCTATATCACAGCATTAACTCTCCAAACCAAAATGCCTAGTTAGTCTTAATCCAACAGAAAAAAAACAGTGCAGTGCTCAGTAAGTCTTTCACTACTTTTAATGTCCTTTTACTATATAAACGTCCCTGAAAATCCCTGTTTAGCTAGGTGGCTAAATCAGCAACAATTTTTTTTAAGCGTTTGCAGGATTTGGAGTTTTTAAGCATATGCCACAGTAAGGCAGAAGATCTTGCAAAAGCCTGTCCACAGTCACAGTGAAACACATTTCTGCATTCTCGTCTGGTACCCTTTTTCATGTTTGATGGCCTAAACCTAAAGAGCACCTTCTGCTTGTGGGAGGCCAAATGATGAGTCCCTTGGAATGTCTGTCCGCAAGCTGCACACACATACCGCATGGCTTCAGCGTGCTGCACCTGATGTCGTAGCAAATGCAGCTGCCGCTGGAAGGTCCTTCCACACTGGCACCTATGCAAGCGTGGCCCGCGGTGCTGATAGCGGTGCCGGATGCCCAGTGAAGGCTGCCTGGCAATGGCACCGCAGTGGCGGCACGGGAAGATGGTCTTGGAGTGCCAGCTCTGCCGCAGGCGCTTCTGAAGGGCCAGCTCCTGGCTTTGATTAACAAACATGGCAACTATCTTTAGGTGGTTTTCAGAAGGTAGGGGAAGTTGGACTGGGGAAGAGGCGCTGCAAGAACCCTCAAGGTTAATGCTGGATTGAACGGGGGCCATGAAATGGGCTTGGGTGGATGCTGCACTAGAGACAGGAGCAGGAACAGACTGTGTTAAAGGGACTGTGACAGGTCTGACATTTCCTGGAAGTCGCTGGCTTGAAGAAGGTAGTGTCTTCATACTGCTAGTCGAAACAAGCATGGGTGTAGGAAACTGGACAGGCGTAGGGGAGAAAGATACAGTAACTTTTGTGGAAGTAGTGGGATATGTGGGGATACGGAGAGCGACCTTGGACTGAATAGATGCTGGGGCCGGGAGAGATACAGGTAGGGATGTACAGACAGGGACACGAACCGGGCGCTGCTGAGGCAGGACAACACCTTGTAAAACAACTTCTGTTGGCTTCATGCTGGCTGAAGAGGAAGCTGGGATCAACACCTGCACTGGTCCAGTCTTTGCCTGAGTAGAAGTAGTTAAAGAAGTTGCAGGGTCCTGCCCATTAAAAACCAAACTCGTCACCTTCTGGTCACTGTTTAATGTCATAGTGGCACTAACTTGGGTAGAGGATGGATTGTTGGGCAACATGGGTATCGTGGAAGCAGACATTGTGCCATGTTTCTGAGATCCGTCAACAACGTTAATGAGGTTGTTGGAGTAGATGACGTTCAGGGAGGGAATGGCCTGACTACAGCCATTGTTGAGCGGTTGCTTAGAAGACACTCCAACAGCAGGTGAAGGCACAAATTTTAGAATCATTGTAGAGGGACTTTTGACAGTGTTTGCAATCTTGGCCGGTGTAGGGATCTGACCACTGGGAACCCTGGTACAACAAGCATGCTTTGTGAAAGAGGTCTGGTTGGGAAACACTAAGAGGCAGGTTGAGCAGACATACTTGGTTAAGGGGTGGTTCTCAGCCTGATGTTTCTGCAGCAACTGATCACTCCCACATGTTACACCGCACATGTAACATGTGAACAGAGGCATGCACTTGCACCGCTCCATGAGATTTTCCATGCTAGCAACTTTGCTAAGGCCACAGGAACTGCAAATCTGAGGGCCTTTAATTGAGCTGGGTTCTGGACCTGCAAGGAGTTTTACAGAACTGAGTGGTTTCTCAGTAGATGTGTTGGGTTCAGGACCTGTACTGACTTTTCCAGAACTGAGTAGTTTCTCATTAGATGAGCCAAGTTCAGGACCTGCAATGACTTCTACAGAACTGACTGGCTTCTCATTAGTGTTTGTACAAGTTTGTCTCTGTTGGACATTCCTGGTCCTTAAACCTTTTGATTTGCGAAGTAATCTTTGCAAACTATTCGCTGGGACATTGACGTTGTTGTCTGAGGTCATGCAAGATGCTGTATCTGAATCTGAATCTGAGTTCAGATCCTTCTCCGGGGAGTATACTGAATCGTCTAGAAGTGAAGAGTCACTTTCTTCCTTGATCTCAATATTTTCCTCATCCTCTTCCTTAATTATATCCTCCTCAATGGGCGCACACTCCCAAAGGTTATCCTCACTGTCATCCTCCACCTTGATGTCAAGCTCCAGCTGCACCGGCTCCAATGCAGCTGAGGCAGAGGAAGACAGTGAAGACTTGTGAGGGGGTTCTTGTTCTGTGTTACTGGGCTTATCCCCCAGCTTTTGGATTTTGAACACCTTTTCATATGTTGCCTGCAATATGGCTCTGCCTTTATGATTCGTGCCCTCTCTCCGTGGCACAGTGTGAAGCACCACAACCTCAACCTTCTCCTGCTGGTCATCCTTAGAGTCCATAGTGTTTTCGTTATTATTAAATGCATGTAAAGTTTCACTGTTAATGTTTTTAGCATTGTCTGTATTTAACCTGGTGGAACTGCGAGTGTTGTATGCAGGTGCTTGATCTGAACCACTGGGATTTCCGAGGCTTTGTGTGCAAAAGTAATTATGATCCCTAAAGATTGTGTACACGATTTGATCCTCGTCTGTGGTCTTTGTGGTGCTGGTTTCCTTCATCTCTCTTGGCTTCTCATTAGTGTTTGTACAAGTTTGCCTCTGTTGGATGCTCCTGGTCCTTAAACCTTTTGATTTGCGAAGTAACCTTGGCAAACCATTCACTGGGACATCACTATTGCTGTCTGAGGACATGCAAAATACTGTATCTGTATCTGAATCCGAGTTCAGATCCTTCGCAGGGGAGTATACTGAATCGTCTAAGAGAGAAGAGTCACTTTCCTCCTTGATCTCAATATTTTCCTCATCTTCTTCCTTTATTATATCCTCCTCAATGGGTGCACACTCCCAAAGGTTAGCTTCACTGTCATTTTCCTTTGTCTCCTCCATCTTTCTCAATACAACCTCCCTCTCTTCCTCCTCCTCCTCCTTCAGGTACTTTACTTCCACCTCCTCTTTCTCAATTACAACCTCCTCCACATCCTCATCCACAGACTTCTGTTTCATTGAGCAAGGTGACATCAGGTCATCAGGTTCCTCAACTTTGCAGTTTTGAAACATTTCGAGATGTTTTTCCATGTGTTGGTTCATATGCCACGTATTACGAAAACTGATTTTGCAGCTTTTACAGTAAAGATGGTACTTAGGATGGGCATTTTCCAGGTGCAAAGCCAGTGAGATTACGCGAGCGAACGTCACCTGACACAAGTGGCAGCGCACCTCATCTTTGTGCACACTGAAGTGCTCAATAAGGTTGTTGAGGAAAGCAAAAGTTTCACCACACACACAGCACATACAATCTCCAGAGCCTTCATGAAGAACGTGTCCTGGGTTGAGATCATCCTCCTCACTGGAATCCTCTTGAAGGTTGTAATGCTTTGGAACAATACAGGTGCCCTAAAACAAAATGAGTATGATTACAAGACAAAAAAATGATGAACGAACATGTTCAGAAATTTGGAATCACTTCTTATTATAGTTGCTGTTATTTTATTCAACATATACAGTACAGACTGATATACTATAAGCTGGACACCAGAATGGGCTTTAATGTTTTAGCCAATGTGTCATTGTTCATTGTTCTTAGGAAGTTATTAAATAATAAATAATATACTTTATTTTTCCATCCACGGTAATTTTTTGAAACAAAAGAGTCCCACAAAAGATTAGTGGAGTGATAACACAGAAGAACCTATTTCTGGTTCCCTAAAGAACCATGTTTGAAAATGAGATTTGTGGGTGTGAGGGACATTTACATTAACTAAATTTAAAAAAAAAAATTTTTTTACACTTTTTTTAAACTTACATGTAAAACAAAACTGCAAAGAAAATGCACCACAATACATAAGCATTTCGCTGACGTTGGAAGAAAACCTCCATTTTTGTCATTTTTCAGTTCTTGACATAATCTGAAAATGCCTGTCGCCCTTTACATCAGGTCAAATTTTCATGATGAATGGACTAAAATACATGACCCGAGATTACTTGGCAACAGGTCTGGTTCCACTGGCTTACATTAAAAGCAAAGCAGGTTTTTTCCTTCTCCTGTAAAGTTACCATTTTGGAGATACAAGGTTTTCTTCCGACAACAGCGATTTATAGAATGTAGATGTTAAAATAATATCCACCTGAAACAGCACTGCAGAGAAGTGCAACACTCACTTGTATAAATGCAGATATTTTACTGCCGTCTCACCCAAACATTCTGCTGTTCCAGAGTATCATACGTCATCAAATATCTGTTTGTTGCATCAGTCAAATGTAAACATCTGTCCAATGTGGCTATTTTGTTTTGCTATTAAGCAAATAGCAGTACATTACTGTATTGTATTTGTGTTATGGACACTGAGTCCCCTGGTTCCCATCACCACCATTATAAAGAAATGAGTGATTTAGTGAATTAGTGGTTTTTCTACAATAAACCGTCTGAATTGTGCAGAAATTTAAAACAAAAATCACTGGAATGTCCCTTTGACTCGGGACTTTTGTTCTTGTTTAAATTTCACAGAGATAAGTTCACTCACTTGAGTCCGTTGAGTAATAGTGTTAACAACTTGCTGTAGCTCCAGTTCAGCATCAACCTCGTTCCCCACCGTCTTCTCAAACACAATTTCCATGGCAACCTCGCTCATACAGCGCAGCTGTGAAACATCATACAGAAACTGTGAACAGGTTTAAAGGGGAGTTCCACCAGTTTTTTTTTTTAATTCCCCATAATTCAGTGGTTGAGATGTGACCAAAGTCATTCAGAGTGATTTGATGTGAAGTGATTCATTACAGAGAAACTTACTGACTCAGATTTCTTTACAGTGGTGGTGAATGGAACCAGGGGTCACAATGTCTACAACACTAATGCAGCCATTTTATTCACTATCCAAAATCACCAGTTAATACAGACGTCTTCCGAGTTTTTATATGTAAATGTTAATGATGGTAAATCTAAAAAGTTGTTTGCCTCACAACAACCTACAGGCACCTCTATACCATTTTAATACATTTTATGCCAAAATATTATCTCAAAGGTATTAGTAATACTTATTTGTGACCATTTTATGCAAAAACTTCTTTGAGGGATTCTGTAAGTTTCTCTAGAGCAGAGCGTTTCACACCAAACCACTCTAAATGACTTGGTTTACATCTTAACCATTTAATTATGCAGAAATTACTTTTTACACAACATTGAAACTCAGCTTTAAAGCTTTAACATATGACTACAGATGCATAGACATCTTCCAGAGTGCTTCCATGAGAAGCAGCCTCTCTCAGGGGTTTTAACAAAAGTTTGAAAAGACTGTATTTTAACCAGCAAATGAAATCTCTATTTTACAGAGTGGATTAACGCAGATGACGGCTTTAAATAATAAACATAATAGTACTGTACATACACCGCTGCTTTCATTCCTCTATGATAATGTAGTCTGTATTGACACCCTACAAAAAACCCTGCAGGTTTCTATTGCTAAGAATGAGTGAACTTCAAAAGTGTCAGAGATTAAACTGTGAGGTGGTGAAAGGGAAATTCCATTGTTTTTTCAAAATTTTTGCACAATTCTGTGGCTGAGGTGTAAATTCAAGTCATTTAGAGAGGTTTGATGTGAAATTCTCTGCTTTAGAGAAACAGATTTCTTTACAGTGGTGGTGATTGAAACCAGGGCTCACCTACAAGACAAATATAGCCATTTTATCTACTATCCAAAACCACATGTGAATCAACAGGTGTCTGAGTTTTTATATGTAATGTTGACAACTGTCAAAATCTGAAAAAAATACGTTTTGTTTGGGGACTATTTTGCCTTGTAACACCTTGCATGTACCCCTCCACCATGAATGAATTAAAATAAATGGACTGAAATACAGTTTAAGCCAAAACTTTATCACAAACCTATCATGAAACAATGCCTTAGACATCAGGCAGCTTATATCTAATCACTTCATGGAATGGCTTTCTTTTAGAGGTGGACGTCTGGTTCCCATCACTGTCACTGTGAACAATTCCGACTCTGTAAGTTTCTCTAGAGCAGAGCGTTTCACACCAAACCTCTCGGAATGACTTGGTTTACATCTTAACCATTTAATCACGCAAAGATTTTGAAAAATCGGTGGAGCTCCCCTTTAAATATGTGCTGAACGTCAGATGGAAGCGTCGCCACATTATTTTATTTACTTCAAGAAAATTCTGGAAAAATATTTTTGGAAGATTTTTAATTTACCGACTTTTTTAAACGGCTGAACACCAGTACTCACTCGCTAACGGAAACCCGGACAGCTAAACCACCACCCCGCGTATATATGACAAAAGATAACAGACATAAAAATTAAAAAGTGATGAAGCTCAAGTCAGCTTCGTGTTCGAACTCTCCCGTTCCACCTTAAATGCTGCAGCTGTTCCATTCACGTGCCTGTAACTGAGGCGCCCGAACGTTAACTGCAGCACCATTTAAGGTGGAACGGGGAAATTGGAACAAGACAGTGGCGAATGAGTAGCTGACTTCAGCCCCGTGAGGAGCGCATCCTCACTACCCTATCCTCCTTCAGGTCTCCTCTTAGAGGGAAACGCGCCACAAACTCGTAGCTAACTTTAATTTGAGTTCTTTTCGGGGGTCTTGAGTGAAGTTGACGTCCATTCGTCGCTAGTATTTCAGTCAGAGGGGTGTTAATTCAGAGCCGCCCACCTCGTGTTTTAAACTTTAGCCAGCGAAACAAATGAGCCACACGGAACCAACACGTTCCCTCACTGTTCCCCACTTACCCGACCAACTGATTAAACCACATTCTGGGACACGCTTTCAGACCTCAGCCACTCAAACACCCGGCAGCGCGCCGTCCCGGCCAAACCCGCAGACTTTATCAGCTCATTTTCCTCTTTTTTTCCAAATCGTGTTTTTATTTACGAGATCACCTGCGCATGCGGGCTTTTTAATCGGTTAGCCCTGCGCATGCGTCTGTCCGTCTGTCAACCCGTTCCTGTTTCCACAAGTGTGCTCATCAGTTCCCACAGGTTTTTGTTTGTATCGAATCGTATTCAGTGTGTTATTCAACGCATTTCCTTTATGTACAACAAACATACTTCACTTATAATCCTTTAATAAGCCAGTAATAGAGAAGGAAAGTGGGCAGACCGCTTCCTATGTTCTGCAAGCTTACAGTGAAGTGGAGGTGATGTATATTACAACATAACGTCCCTTATTCCGTTCTGTGTGACACTATGTCAACAATTAAAACGTAAAGAAATACTAAAATAAAGTTATGTACAGTATTAAACGAGTGTTTCCTCAAAACGGACTACAAAGCCTGTCGCGCGGATGACGTCACTTCTCAGACAGCCTACGGGGCGGCTCCGGCACAGAGCCGTGGGATTTGTAGTTCAAACCTGTAGTCTTAATCTTCACTGCGATGCGGCTCAGCCCAGTATTCTGCTGTTGTGTTGTATTCGTATCTGCAGTGCTAGTAGGCTCACAAAATGGCTGATTCACAAAAGTTTCGGCTTTAAGTGGTTTTTAATCCGTTAAAATAAAAAAAATGCCCCCATGGCGAAATGAATGGCGGGGCAAATAGTTTTGAATGCAACCAGCAGATGGCGTAGGTCTGCACTTTTCCACCACATTATTAAGAGGGCTTGCTGCAGTCTAAGAAGGCACAGACGGTTAAATGAGAGGCAACACCATAATACTTGGGATTCCTCCCATCAAAACGTTCTTTCTTAACGCTAGAGGGCGCCCACAAGGGAGAGCACACTGAACAGGGAGGATGGCTAAAAATTATAATTATAATTTAATATTTTTCTGGGAATTTCTTTAGTTTTAGTAAGTAGAAGAATTATTTAATTATATTATAAAATGTTATATAAAAGTAGAAAGTATTTTGTAAAACAATCAGTCGTAGAGGTGGGTAATCCAGGTCCAAAAAGTAAAAACCCTCCCCAGGATTTTGTTCCAACTGCTTGACTTGTCTAATTTGCTCAAACCAGCAGCGAAGGTGTTCAGGCGGTTGGAATTAAATCCTGGGGAGGGTTTTTACTTTTTGGACCCGGATTACCCACCTCTAAGCCTAATACCACCATGATGTGATACTGGGGAAAGGACGCATTTAGTGTGGTGGCCTATTGCTCACTGTTCTTTTGCATATTGGAGAAATGGGGGCGAGGGGGGCTTTGATTCGTTGCGGTACCCACGAATGCACCTTTCCGTTTTTTCTGCAGCAAACATTTAAGCTCTAGCGTTTACTGATACGTAGTGATGGGGATTCCAAAAGAATCGATTCTCAGACATCGATCTCCCAACAGGTTCTCCCAACAGGTCTGGGAGTCGGGGTCGACTCTTAGTCAGTGACTCTAAGAGTCGAAATGCTTGGAGACGACTCTTCTACATTTAAAACAGGAATAGTCTGAGTCTGAGTAGAGAGTTTGTTTATTTGCCAGCTTTAAACAAAATCTGATCACCAGCCAATCTAAGAACAAACTCTGCTCATAAAAACGTTTTTGATCCGTCTGCTACTGAGTTCTGATTGGCTGGCGAGCTGATCAGCTCATCAGCCCTGAGAACTTGTAGAGAGGAGAGGTTTCTAGAACGCGAGAGGGCGCTCCCGAGCGAGTCCAAAATGAATGGTTTAAGATGGAGCATTTGAGCAAAATCAGTTTATAAATGCTTAAACATTTTTAATGTAAAAGAATTCATTAATTTCCTGAACACAGAACAGCGTAAAACATGTTAACACCGCTGTTACATTTTGAAGAGCTTTTGAATTTGAGTTGTTGAAGCTTAAAGCGGCACCTCATGTACGTTCATGATGTCAGTGAGCAGGAACAGCCAATGAGCTGCTCCGCTCGCCAACCAATCAGCGCTAATTAGCAGTATTGCTAGCATTTGCGGCCAAAAACTTGTTTGCTGTAGAAAAAAGGAAACATGAGTTCGAAACGTGAGTTTTCTTTGCTTTTTTAGTGAAATACATCCTTCAACTTTCTAAAATTAAAGGAAAGTTCTGGGCGAGTGATTAGAAACTATTTTAACTTCATGTTTTTAGCCATTTGGCTCCATTTACCCCTATTCATTTAGGACTCGCTCTTGGGCGCCCTCTGGCGTTTTACAGTCATGGTTTTGATATAATGGGTGAAATAGGAAGAGGCCAGACTCCTCACAAACCGGCTCTGGTTCGCACTCACTGACGTCTTGAATGCACACAACACAGGCATTGTAAAAGCTCTGAAAACATGACAACAGTGTTGAAATCATTAAATATTTACCAGTTTTTCTCAAATGCTCCACAGTTAAAAGATTTAAATATTTCTCAAATATTTATCATCATTTGCAGATATAATGAAGTACACAAAACACTACTGTTATAATTGTAGTACCACACATATCCCAGGGTGATCATAAACAAATACACATCAAGAAAAAGATGAATACATAAAATACACAAGGCCTTGACCGTCATATGAAAATATGAAATTTTACACATCCATTGACAGTTTAGTTGGCTTTCTTATTTCCACATGGCTTTAATATATTCTTCAGTTTCATTTAGAAAAACATTTATGTACACAAAACTTAACAAGATTAAGTATTAAAGGGGAACTCCACCAAATTTTCACATAATTAACTGGTTGAGATGTAAACAAAGTCATTCAGACTGGTTTGGTGTGAAATGCTCCGCTCTAGAGAAACTTGCCGAGTCAGAATTGTTCACAGTGGTGTTGATAGGAACCAGATGTCCAAAGAGTTTAATGCCTCTAAAAACTCCCTCACACAAAGTTACTACAGAAAATGGCTATGAATACACAGCCTCAGACATTATTTTATGATAGTTATGTGATAAAGTTATGTTAAACCGTTTATTATAATGCATTCATGACAGAGGGGTACACACAGGGCGCCGCGAGGCAAAATAGTCCCCAAGGTAAATATAATTTTTTTTAGATTTATGACTATTAGGAATGCATGTTTTATTTTTTTTTTTGTATTGTATTTTATTTTATTTTATTCACTACATCTAAATGTTTGTCTGGTACTGTGCACTGTGAGCTCCTGTAACCAAAACCAAATTCCTTGTATGTGTAAGCATACCAGCCCAATAAAGCTTGATTCTGATTCTGTTGTAGGTTAACTGTTGGTTTTGGACAGTAAATAAAATGTCTAGATTTGTGTTGTAGACATGGTTCCTATCACCACCACTGTCTGTAACTTTCTCTGAAATGAACCATTTAATATCAAACCACTCCAAAACCGAAGAGTAACCAAACCTTCTTCCAAAGAATTCTATCCGCAAAGTTATTCCAGTATGCTGTAACGTACAGTAAGCAGGCAGCTTTGTTTTGAAACAGGGAGCGAATTGCCCTAAAATTCTCTTTAAAAGATGAAGTGAAACAAATTTTCCCTCAAAAAGCATCTACAGGATCACCTAAAGCAACATCAGTTGGGTCTGCACTTTGGTGACGTCATCAACCGCGCAGCTGTAGAGGGCACAAGACATCAAGGGTGCTAGTTTTAAAAGCATGCGTTTGGGACTCGAGCATCACACAGGCTGTACCAGTACTGTACCATTTTATGAGCTTATTCTAGATTAATACAGATTAATACAGCTCAAGTAGATGGTAAATCAATCAACAAATGCATTTTAACTCACACCTGAATCTTTTTCGGCCCTGTCCCAAATGGTGCACTCAAAGTCCGACAGTCCACATCCTCAAGGTTTCATGCTTTCTAAGTCTGCACATTGTGGAAATCACCAAAGTGTTGACTTTGGGTTGGAAACAGGGCTTAGGGCACCATTTGGGACGAGGCTTTCCCTGCCATGTTGGTGAGACAAGGGTTATCAGTGGCGAGCGGTTTTGATTTGGCCCCACACTGCTCCACTCCACTGGCTGCCCTCCAGTTACTTTGGTTACCTGTTAGCAATTAAGAATACTATGATTTACTAGCTTACATGCACACATGGGTCAGTGAAGATTCCTTTATGAATAAATAAATATGAAGAAGCGCTGCAGACGTCACACAAATAAAGGAAAGGAACAGATGCTCCTCAGGTATGGCTGCAGCAAACTCAAAGTAACAATGCCATGCTGGGAGCGGCAAAAAACAAAAAATCCATATAATAAACCCAAAGAAATTCCAAGGCAGACGTCTTAAGAGAAGTATAAAATGCCATGACATGCCGTCTTGTGGATGGAATTGTTACTTTGAGTTTGCCATACCTTTATGAATGTATGTTCTTTTGAGAGGTGGGGAACGTAGGGGTGGCCCGTTGACCTGTTTTGACTTTATCGTTAGGGTAGCAAGGGGAACATTTTTGTAATTCATTTTTTTTCTTTTTCAGTTAAATTAGTTAATTTATAATAATGCTCTCTCTGTCCTTTGTCGAGTGCACACATGCATGATGAACTTGCACATTATGTAAAGGTGCACAAGCACTTAAGACCCTGAGTGTGTGTATCTTACGTTTGTGGAACTGGTCACAGAAGTTCTTATAATTTTATTAAAAAAATAAATAAATAATTAATAATAAAAAAAATTATTCATCAACACTGATGAATGGTCAACATAGCCAAAAAGGCTCAGATCTAATTTGAAAATATCAGATCTTTGTGTTCAGAAAGCTCCCAAAAAAAACAGATCGGTGCCACTTCAGCCAGCTAACATGAACATGAACCTTTGTTTCACACAGGTCTGTTTTTGTTGTAGAACTCAAACACGCAAAAACAACAGTCTGTGGTTGGTCGTTTTGCACATCAGTCAAATGGCCCTTTCCTGTCAACAAAGGAAATCGTTAGAAACGTTTAGCGAAAAAAACAATCTCTCTGATGACTGACAAAGATTGGCTTGCAAGAGCAGTCAGTAAAGAGGTAAATATTGGGTATTGCACCAGAGCCTAATTCCTATTAAAGAACTTTCAAAGAAATATGGGTAGAACAAAAATTACTGTTGCGCTCCGTAAAAAGTAGATTGCTTCAGGTGCGTAAAGCAAAAAAACTGATCTAAATAGTGTACAAAGAGTATTCCAGAGTAAGGGCATAAAAAGAAAGGTAAATTTTTGCTAGACTTGTCTGACTTTTCAACAGTGTGCGGGCAATACTCTCTATTTAATGAAATATGGGTAAAAATCAGAGAGAAGTGTAAAATAAGGCATATGAAGCAATCAAACATCCCAGAGAAGCAGACTGTTTTAATGATAAATACGGACACAAAAAAACGACTTGTCTGAAGGATCTTTTAAAGTTCATCATCTGTGAAATCATTCTGATCTTGCTGAAGCTTTTTACCAAACATTCCTGATATAATTGCATGAGGCATCAGATTCAGCTCATCAGCTCTTTCAAAAACAATTACCACTCGGCTCAGCTGCCTAGATCCACTGTCAGCAAACACATATTTGCTGTATTTCCCTGCTCAAAACACAACAGCTCAGCAACAAGTGCAACCCACCGCTGTTGTCCTTTCAGAACATCCGCTGTTCTAATCAAGACAGCTGGCTGAACATGGAGCGCAGCGATGTTACATGCGGCACTGTGTGGTCGAGCCTCAGAGCACACGAAGGAGATCGACTTTCTCCATTTCTCCAAATCCCAGGCACGTCTAGGAGCCCCTGATTATGACAGCAAGCGGCTATACTCGGACAGGGCTGAAGACTTCTTAACACCATCCCAAATTCTGGCAGCATAGTGGAACCTTTACAGAAACAGAAAGATACATTTTAATATATATAAAAACAGATAAAAACACTATCAGATGGGTAGTAACTACTTTCATTTACTCAGTTATAAGTACTAAAGTAACATTTTCATGGATTTGTAAGTATTTTCATAATCATAATTTTACTTATACTCTAGCTGGATGTGTTTAGAAGTTAATACATTAGTCCAAGTCTAGAGTCTTTGGGTTCCAAGTCAGAGTTGAGTCTCGAGTCTTTAATATAGTTTTAGTCTCATTATTAGCTGCAGGCAATCCTGTCAGCTTCGACACAGCTTCAAATACTGAGCCTTTCATTGTAGAAAAACCTTCAGTCTGAAAGAGAACTGAAGCGCTATACTGTAAATGTGATGTTAGAATAAAAAAAGAGCACAAGGACTAATCAAGCTAAAGTTTTAAAGTGACTTTTTTTTTTTTAATGTTGCAGCTACATTAGATACAACTTCAGCTACAACAGCTAATGCCAAGCATATTTGCTATCCAAACTATGTACTAGCCAATCATTTTAACTTGTTTTGCCCCTTGAAAGACTGTTTACTGCATGAAAACCTTTGCTTTGTTCTTCAGACTAAAGGCATTTCTGTAACAAGAGGCACGTTATTTAAAGCTGTATTGAACCTTCTGCTGCCGTGAGCCTGCAGGACAACAGCACTGCAGTAATGACCATAACAAAACTGACATGCAGTCATATATATATATATATATATATATATATATATATATATATATATATATATATATATATAAGGTTGGGAATGAAAGGTTTTATTGATTTACCGCTTTAAGGTTGATTGTGCTAATGTAACCAAGTTGCTGTACAGCTGAATGCAGCTGAAGAACTCAGCCCAACTATATGTATGTCAAGCAACAGATGCCCACAATGGGCTACCATCATACTAAGTGATGGATGGAGAGTAAGAGGTTATCCTTCACACCAAGAGAAAGCAAGGGTAGCAGAGGAGAGAGCAGCAGGGCCAGTTATAGACTCTCGACCATGGATGGTTGCATCATAGTCTCACACGTTTACATCCATTGATTGAGTTTGCAAAAAAAAACATAACCACAACACGCTGACTTACTGGGTCCGTTTCATGGCCATGAATTAAACCTGTTCTTGGACTAAACTGCAATGGCAATTAAAAATCCCATTTCATCTACCTTAGGCTTAAAGCTGCACAATGTAAATTTTGGGAATTTTGAGACCTCTGTGGTGGAAATGTGTAATTGCACTCAAAATGTGCAGAAGAACATTTTGTAACGCTGGTTATGCTTCGGACCCCTTTCCCAAGCGGATAAATCTGATGATTGCTGAAAGAGCATTGAAAGAAAATTTTGTCAAAACTTGACGAAGGACGTGTCTTCCGAGTACATAAGTGAATTATCTACTGTTGTCATCATATCTTCATCTTCACAACTTGCATTTTTGAAAATTTTTTTCAGTTTAACAATGTTAGCTGCTAGAATTACTGTATAAACCAAATACTCTATACCACGGCTGTTCTGGTTGCTACCTCAGTGACTTCTATGCTCATGCACAAATGCTAGGCTATCTGCTAAGCTGCTAATATGTCATAGTATGTTACATCCTCCTTTGCACAACTCCACACTCAGTACCGTGTACTGCCTGTGTTCTGTTTTGTATTTATTGTACTGTATTGTCTGCACTGTGTTTATTGTATTGTCCTGCACTTGTGTTCCTGTGTTGGTCCTGGAGGAATGTTGTTTGGTTTCACTGTGTACTTGTATACAGCTGAAATGACAATAAAGCCTGACTTGACTTCATTAGTATAATGTGGATTTTGCATTTGACACCTAAACATTAAGCCTGACCATCTTTTAAGAGCCTGTGTGTTTGACGCTAATACGTAAAGATGTGTAACGTGGACCTGTGAAATCTGTCCTTATTACAATAATCACGTTGCAACTTATCTTGCACTGATCTTAATGCAGCTGTTCAGTTAGGAAAGCTAATATTGCTTTCAATAAATGAGTCTGACAGCCCCAGTTAGCATTATGCAAATGAAGTTAGGCTACATTATGTATACTGCGTTCCATTTGTTGTTAGCCATGTTAGTATTTTTGTTGAGCTGTTCATTTAATGATTTTCGGCATGATTGAAAACTAAGCCTCGGAAAACAGAATTACAAACCACTTATTCTTATCTCAATACATGAATCCAATCAACTTAAACTTAAAGAACATAAACCACATATTTTGGCTTATTAATATTAGTAACTACATAGAAAACCACATGCAAAAAAGTTATTATTAAGTTATAAGAGTAAGCGATTAGAATTTCTGCCCCCCCCCAGACTTGCCATACCAGTTTTTCTCTGTAAGGATGGTGTGCGAGAGCTGATTGCGAGACATGGCTAAGACTTGGCTGCGGAGTTTGGACACCAGGGAAGAGAAGCTGGGGTGACCCCTGTAGCCAGGCAACAGAGAGAAGAGAGGCATAGACCCAGACCCTGCAATACAAACACAGAAAAAGAACAGACAGATCAGTTTGTGTCACAGATTGATCACGTGGTGCCATACGTAGTCAGCCAAGTACAGGAGAAACCAGGGTTGAGATCAGTTTCATCAATTCAGAAGATCAAAGGTTCAAATTTGAATGATTGGGACATCTGGTTCTGTTATTGTCTGAAATAAAACTGATCATAAATACATCATGACCGTGAAGGCATATGTAGCAGACAACAATGTTTGAAGTGCATCTTTATATTGATATGATTCGTTTACTTAAAATGCAACACTATTTCTTTAGTCCATCAGGATTAATGGTGGACAGGGGTTAGCATGGGCACGGCTACGCAGCCCCATACACATACTATGTGATACTATGTGTGTTGCAACACATTCCTCCCGTAAACATCATTAAACATCTCTGTGACTTCTGTACCACTGTAGCCCTCATCTTTTTGGACTAGATAGCCTTTGTTGTTCTTAGCACATCGATGAGCATCCTGTCACTGGATCATGATTTGAACTCCTTGGACCACTGTCGGCAGGTACTGATGACTGCTGACCGGGAGCACCCCACAAGCCTTGCTGTATCAGAGCTGCTCTGACCCATTCGCCTGGCCATGATGATTTGGCCCTTGCCCAGATCTTCACACCTGCTTTTTCTCCCACATCCAACACGTCGACTACAAGAACCAGCGGTTTACTTATGGTCTAACAGAACCCAGACCCTGAGATGCGGTGCTGTTACGAGACAATGTTATTCGCTTCATGTGAGAGTAGTCGTAATGTTTTGGCTCATTAGTGTATTTAGATATATACACTAGAGTAACAACATTAGTTGCAAACACTTGATAGGGCTCTATTAAATATGCTTACTGTTAGAATCCATGAGATCCATGAGACTTTTCTTGAAGCAATGTGACAAACTAAATTTGATGTCTAGCATTTACACTTAAAATGTAATACACAGAGTACATCAACTCTTAACTAGGGATAGGACCTCTACACAATATAAATGACACACCCCAGTATAATCATACTGCTTTAAATTTGAAAAATTCAAATAAATGTGTACAATTACTGTCTTTTTAAATGACGGTAACTGTGTAAGAGAATAGCTTACTAATACGGTAAGCCAGTAATAATGAATTATTCTATGTACAGCACAAAATCATGAAATGGAAGAGAAAATTAAGAACAATGGCCCAACTCTTTCTTCTCTTACCTGCCCTCGTCAAGGCTTCGTCTCCGTCGTTCTCCAGCACTGGCAAAAGGAAGAGGTTAACTTCAGTTCCGAGATAGTCTCGTTCCAGCCCAGGGAAGATATTACAGTCCAGCATGGACAACGTACCTGAGAAAACACAACACCAGGGAAGCTAATGAGCCAGATTTCTCTTAGAATCAAAGGGGGGGGGGTGGAAGGTGATTAGCAGTGGTGGGTGTAAACTGGCTAAGTGCTGCTAAGTGTTTTTGCCTAACCTTTATACTTTAGGTGTGAATGGGCCATCAGCTTGTCCACAACCATGTGCATATTCTTCAGGTTTCGAGGACAGAATTCCTCCCTTCTTGCTTTGTTCTGCAAGAAAACTACAAAAACAAACATGCAAGTTACTTTATAATAGCAATTACATGATGTCAATGTCAGCACATTTACGTTGACTGTCGATTAAATCTGTTAATATGCTGAGAGACTGTTTTACAACTGAAAGGCTCTTTTCTTTATTGTGCAAATGCTAGGACACCACAACAAAAAGAAAATAGTACCATTTCCATTGCACAACAAACCTGAATATGGCAATGTATGGTGTTTTATTTATAGATGATGACTTTCCCAACTTTTGTTAGGCACCATCAAGAATTTGACACCTCTAATAGAAAAAATACTACATTTTCAGACATTTGCCAAATTTGAAAAAACTATTTTTAAGACGTTCTTGTTGGGTTTATAAGACATATTTAAGCATGTTGTTCTTGATAACTAACCACATCATAATCATAGCATGGAAAAGGTGGGGGGGGCACTGCCACCCTGTTTATTGTTTTGTTAAATGTTTTTGTTTGTGCTGTCTTGTCCACTGTTTTTTTTTTTCCTTTTCTTTCTTTACTTCTTCTGCTTTGTCTCTCAGCTATCTCTGTCTTCTCTTTCACTCAAAGGGGTGTTTGGAGGGGGGTTGGGTGGTTGTGGTACCAAATCACCTTACATTTGTATGATTATTAATAAGCGATAAGTTGTGACATTAATACTGAAACAAAAAAGAAAAAATTATGTGCCCGTAAAATGGGTGATGGTGGTGGTATGGCCAAAGAATACTGGTCCGGAAATTTAACTGTCCTGGAGAAGAGCAGTTTCTGTTTTTGAGGCTCATCACGGTATCAATGATATAATAAATTACCGGACATCACAGCAGTATTAACTTTCATACCCATAGACCTACCATCCCTATGCTGAAATAGTAAAACAGAGATTAGAATTGGATTAAAGAGATAACTAAATGCTCACTGAGGTGAGGATAGTACTCAGATCCGTCGTCTTGCCCTGAGGATCCAGTGCTGTCATGACTGGCAGATGGAGTTGAGGGCTTCAGCATCTCAGCAGTTTGAAGAAACCTGACAAACAGTTCCACGCCACAAGTTTACGTCTCGTCAACTAATGTACAACATCAGTGTGCAAACCCTAGCTAACAATGAGAATTTATGTTGAACAATGGGGTGTTGAAGTGGGTGGGATACTGATTCATCTGGTGTACTGGTTGAAATTTTTACTCAGGTATGAGTTCTTTCATAAGTACAGAGAGCGCAATGTAAAAACAGTGCAAAATATGCTAACGTTAGCATTAGCTGTGGAGTGGTTCAGTTTAGCTTCAAATTAAGATAAACCTAACAGCTCCTTGCTCAACTTCCTCTGTCTGGTCTGTTACATCTGAAGTAGACAACTTTGTTTTTGAGGAAGCGGAGAGTTGTGAAACTGGATGACTTAATGATCAGCTGTGTTCATTAAGCCGTGGGCCTGCTGGTAATAAAGTGTGAATGACTAATATTTTCCAAACTCTAGCAGTGTCTGTCAGACTAAGGCACGAATGTATAGGTCACAAATATGAGACAAATGACTTGAGAAATTTGACAGAGCTCAAGTTGGCTTTTTAAATTTCCTGTTCCACCTTAAATGGTACAGCCATTACATTCATGTACCTGTACCAAGTGCCAGAATGTAACTGCTGTGTGGCTAAAATGCTACCACATTAAATGCCAGCACATCCAACAAGCGACAAAACATACTCTATGACTGAAAGCTCTTTCATAACGTCCACAGCTAAAAATTCTTTTTGTGTCTCCTTTTTTTTAATTTTCTATATCATTTGAGCACACCAGCTACCATTTACATTGGCACTTGGAATAAAATCGCTTTACATTTACATACATTAAAAGTTAAAAAAAAAAACAAAAAAAAAACAAAAACACATTTGTGCCCTCTCCTTTGAAGTTGCCATTTGGAGATGGTTGTTTTTCTTTAGACAGTGACGATGTGCTAAAATATATACGGTAAAATATACTTTTGAAAACTGATATTTACAAGAGTAATAATAATCATAATTTCAATCATAATCTCAAAACAGAGTGTTGACCTGAAAAATAAGGTGGATAGACAGGTTTGTCTGAAACTGTGTTGATGGATAAGAGCAGAGTCTGACCTGTACAGGTTGATGTCTGTGAACCAGTCTTGAACCACGATTACAACATGGCACACAGTGAAGAGAAAGGCAGCTATCTGCAGAGACTAAAGAGAGAAAAGGAGACAATGTAGGGAGTTGAAAACATACTTGACATGGCTCATATGTGTACATAAAATAGGTCTATGTGAATTAACTGGGTTTCTGACGGTTAAGGCCAGTTTTTACCATGCAGAGCCATTGGGCCTTATTCACCAACATCTTAAAGTTTTTTCTTAAATTTGTTCGTGAGAAAGGTCCTAAGAAAAAGTCTACGTCAAATTTATGACGTGTTCTTAAACCACAGGACTGTTCTCACCTTTGTGCTCTTGAGTGTGTGTAGATTCTGTTCAAATCCCAAATAAGAAGCAGACAGCAACTACAATACTTTGAGTATTTTGCAAAAACCTTGTTGCTGAATACAAGAGTAAAAGTGGAAAATAATGGGAAATGGGGAAAATGTAATAAAAACAAAACGTAATAAATATATAAATGACAGTATATTACTAGACATATTCCAAGATGTTCTGGTGATAAATGTACAAACCCAATTCCAAAAAAACAGTAGGTAAAGTAACATGAATAAAAACACAAAGCAGTCATGTATAAATTTACAATCATCTGTATTTGAACAAAAACAGTACAACGACAAGATACCTAATGTTTTATTTCATCAGTTTCTTTGTTTTGTGTAAATATTCACTCCTCCTGAAATCAACGTCTGCAACATATTCCAAAAAAACCTGGGACAGAAGCATTTAAGACTAGGAACGTTATGAAGTGCTAATATTTTCAGTCAGCAGCTGTGACAGAAGAACACCTAAACAACCTAGAAGCAGCCAGAAATGAACCGAATACCATTCACCAAACGTGTAATCTTCAGAGTCTGACCAAATTAGACTGAGCCATAAAACTGCTGCCATATCAAGTTTAGCTCAGTTTTGTCAATTTTTGCCAGATCAATATTAATGTTGTTTTGTTCCAGCCAGTCTGTAAAGCATCTTGCAGCCCATTTTGTTTGGCGAATGGCACTGGGTTCATTTCTGGCTGATTCCAGATTGTTTAGGTGTTCTTCTGTCACAGTGATCTTAAAAGTGTCCATTTTCTGTTTGTGGCAAAGTAAGAGGTAGAAATGTTCAAGTGGCTATAGCGTCACCTACAGCTGTCAAAGTCGTTGCTTAGCAACGGTGTCTTAGCGGAGTGATAAAGTGTTTGTGAAAAAACCCTAATGTTATTTCGCCATAATGCTTAGAAAGCTTCTCAAGCAATCAGCTTGCGTGGCCGTAACTAACTGTTGTATAAATATATATATAACTGGTAATGCAGTGATGCTTGGCCATAAAAGAAGCATCCAGAAAAAGTCTCGCCCTTTATGAGCAAGAATGGGTCAAGCTTGCCACTTTGAATCAGCAAAAAATCCAACAGTTATTAAGCTCAAAATTGCAAAACAATCCACTTCCAAAACTGGATCAGTTTGTGGCTTCCGGGCCCAAACATTTATCAAGTGCTGATATAAGGTAAGGTGATGTTACATAGTGGTTAACATGGTGTTGCAGGCATCACACTTGGAATGAACATATATTTACAAAAAACAATAAAATTCAATAAGTAAACACACAATTTTGTGTTTTAGTACGCTTTTTCAATCTAATACAGACCAAACAAAATTTACTAATGACTGCTTTCTGTTTTACTGTCCCATATTAACTGAATATTAACTGAAAGTTTCACAGCAACCTTAGCGTGATGATGCCCAATTTGACCAACTCAGAAAGTAAACTATGAATTCATTACTTAATTCTTTTTGGTCAAACTTTCCATTTCTCTAAGTTTCAGGGATCAATCTGGTCCATTTCAATAATAACTATAGCTATTACACACTCACCTGCATCTCTACGTATGTGTGTGGAAGGTTATACTCGGGAGGCAGTTTGCGGTCATTATTGATGAGATGATCCAAAATGGAGGGGCTCAGAATGGGCTGACAACAAACACAGCAGCGAAACGTATTTTTAATAACAGGAATATAAACAGAATAGGGCTAGAAAAGAACAGGAAACGTGTTGACTCATAACAGATATATACATATATTATGACTTAATCAATGCTTTCAGTCCAACTAAGCAACAACAAGCTAGAAAACATCCCCCAACCCCCCATTTTACTTTAAAACAAATGTTGGGACACTATTCCAAATTCATACACATTCAACCCTTCAAACCAGTGATCAACACACCTGATTCTAAATTTCATTTACATTCTGAAATAAAGAAACTTGAATATTGAGTAATATCTCTTGGTAATAAAATGAGAAACAGTGCAGATACACTGTACTTTTACATTCCAAAAATCAAGATTAAAAAATATACTGAAGTTGTTGGGAAAAAAACTCTTTCTACAAAATGATAACTGTACAGGAAAAGGAAAAAACATACTGTACTTTTAATGTGAGTCAACAGAACCAGACTTTTTTCCAAGTCATTATGTGTCGTTTCTTTTGGTCCATTCATCATTAAATTTACACACAATGTAAAGGGTAACAGGCATTTTCAAATTCTGTCAAAAACTGAAAAACGACAAAAATGGAGATACAAGGTTTTCTTCCAACAACAGCTATTTATTTATTTATTTAAAAAAAATAGAAATGTTTGTCTTATTGTGAAAAAAACAAAAAACAAAACAAAATGCGGCACATTTAATATTTTGTTTTTTTTCCTCAATAATAAACGCCATACTCCAAGCAAAAAAGCCACATTTAAGTGTGTCCTCTGCAGAGGACGTGGTACTTCCTTTATTTAAAAAAGTAAAACATGTAATATAACTTTTGCATCCGCCTGTTTAATGTATCCTGACAACAACCTGCAAACCCAAAAGTCTAACCTGCGTGTCCAGGAAGATGACTCTCTCCTGTGTGATGTAGAAGTCAATACCACTGCTCTGGTTCCCTCCTCTCTCCTTCATCTCCTGAGTCTGCGCCCTGAACACATACGACCTGAAATGAAACAGATGCAGATGCTGAGTCCCGTGGATCTAAGGTTAGCACACTTTATGTTACAGTGATTTTTAAATGATATTTAATAGAGTCAAGGCTTGAATTCATGTTTTGTAAACTCACTGCCTGGTGTGAAATACCAGAAAATTTTTTTTGGAAGGAAATATCACAGCATTGTAATGTTACTAAAAATCACACTGAAGTTCAGTGCAGAGTAACTCGCGGTCAAAGAAAATGTTGGCGGAACTAAGTCTTAAATGTCGTAAAGTTGATATTTATTTAATAATTATGTAATTATTAAAACAGAAACCGCCCATGTTTTCCCCTAGTTTGTACTCCCACTCAATGGCCCAATTATGAGCTCCATCTGCCTTATAGATCGACTTTATAAAGTACTATGAGAAAATCACAGAGACCGTTCTTTTATTAAATTTCCAGGCAAAGCAGCCATTAAGTACAAGTTATTACATTTTCAGGAGATATTTGTGAGAAGATCAAATATAAGATAATCCAAATGCATAAGGAAGAGGAAAATCAAAGAATACTAAGTAAAAATATAGAAGTATAATTAAAATATAATTGAAAGATACAGAGAAAATGGGACTCCTAACAACCACCTGCAAGACTTGGTAGACCAAAACTGTCCCTATCAGAAAAACAGTACTTATAGCTTTCATCTTTAAGTGACAAGAGGAAAATCAAGCTCCACTCTTGCTTCAGATTTTAAAAAAAAGGATTTTTGTCCATCCTTTCACAGTGACAAGATAACTTAAAGCTGTGGGTCTGAAAGAAAGAATAGCTGTCAGGAAGCTGTTACTAAGAAAAGTAAAATATTAAAAAATATATATATCTATATCTATATCTATATCTCTCTCTCTCTCTCTCTCTCTCTCTATATATATATATATATATTTATTTATTTATTTACATAAAAATAAAATCAACCCCCAAAAAAACTGCTGATATTTTGAAACAATAGACTGGCCACCCCCAGGGTCCAGACCTCAACATCACTGAATAAGTCTGATTACTTGAATATATATCCCTGCAGATTTCTTTGAAAACTTAATAAAAGAAAAGGGTGGGCACATTCAATGTTAAAACAACCTGACACTACTACCTCCTGGATTTATACACCAGCCACTGCCTGAGGAAGCCCAACAGGATTCTAAAGGACTCCACTCACCCAAGCCACTGTCTGTTCTCACAGCTGCCCAGTGGGAGGAGGTACAGACGCATAAAGTCCAGAACCAGCCAGTTCCCCAGGCCATCAGGCTGCTGAACAGCCAGTAGTGCTTGTGTATCGGTCTATGAGCCTGTCACTGTACCTCTGAGTCATCATAATCATGATCTCCATACACCTCATCCACATCTCAACAGACTTAATCTGATCTCACTGCACCTTCAATCTAGCAAATCTGTACTTACACATATAGACTGACATCTTGTACATCTTCTATCCATATCTCATATAATCTGGAAGATTTCTATATCAATATTCTATCCCCTGTGTACCTGCATCTCAGAGTATTTATCTACCTCAGACTCACTCATTGCACATATGGAAATGTGTACAACTGTGCATATCAGTTATCATTACTGTACAAAACTGTAATAAGTGCAATATTAGTGTATATTAATGAGTACATTTTTCTTATGTGTGTACGCACCTAAGATTTTCCATCCCCTTAACAGCTGTGTAATGTGATGTGACAATAAACGTGATTTGAAATTGAGCTGTTGAAGCTTCTGTGTAATTTTCTGTTAAATATGTTTTATGTTTTGATCTAAAAGAGAACAATTAATAACTTGTACTTAATGGTCTTTTGACTAGAAATTAAATAAATGAAGGGTGGTGCTAGATTAAGAGTAGTAAAGAGCAGTGGTAAGAAAATGACCGCTGATGAAGGAGAAGGCTAATACAAACTGTGCATCAACAAATGAACTACAGTCTCTATATGAACACCAGCAAGGTGAAGCTACAAAAAAAGTGGCCAGTGAGTATTGTATACATTTATGTGCAATGGGTGGCCCTTGCTAGGTTGACTGAAATGAAATCTGACTATGTGAATATTTATCAAATTGCAAATTATTATTTGACTACTGATAAATATTGAAAAAAAATGCAAAACGTGTTCCTGGTAGATAAACCAAATTTAAACACAAAACACACCAGAATGAAGCTGTAAAGTCTACCTTTGGTCCTCTTCAGGTGTATTAGCTGAGAGAAGGGACATGATCGTGGACTTTCCAGTCCCCTGCAGGCCAATGACTCCTACAACCAGCATGTCCGTTTGGTCACGCAGGTACTGAGAAAAAGAGATACAGGATTCACTGACACAATCATGCGGCTAGTAATGAAGTTAGTCAGTTAGACACAGATCAAACTATTTTATGTAAGAGTGAGAAAAAGAAGACTAGCATAAATCTGATTTTATAGTTCATTTTTAAGTATATTCATAAGCAGATAATTAATATAATGCTGGTCTTAAAACTAACCTCCATAGCACTGTCGCACCAGTTCATTTGTTCATCCACCAGTTTAATACTGTGCTTCATCTTCTCAGGGGGCAGAAGCTTAGTCTGGCCAATCACAGCTGCCAACATATGGTAGAGTAAAAAATGAATGCATTTTGTAATGGCAATTAAACTAGCCTTAAATGTGGCTTGACACATGAAAACATTTAAGAGTGGGAAAGGGGTGGGAAACAGGATAGTACTGTGCAACATTATTTATTTAATCTCCAGTTAAAACAGCCATTAAGTAAGTGACAATTCTTCAGCATTTGGAAAAAATGATAGAAAACATAAAATTAACAGAAATTTACACAAAGCCTTGACAACTATATGTAATTTTTTTAGTATTTAGTGTTCAAATTAGTGTCATCTGACATTTGCACAGCACTGTATGTATGAATTGTTATGCAAAGTCAAAGAAATATATAACAATAGCGTGTTTGGTAAGTAATTCTTACAGAACATAATAATCAAGAAAATGTGCACTCTGATGGGACACCCTGACTGTTACCTAAATTCTCTTTTCTCTCCACTGTATGTTTGCATGAACATCAAGTTAAACTAATTAAACTCTTTTTATTGGGGCTTGATGGAGCTAGACAGGCATTACAGTAAAAACACAAAGTAATAAAAGCTTAATATAAATGCATTTTCATAAGCTTTATTACACTGCCTTTCAATTTACGTTGACTAACTTACAGAGTTAAGCATGTGCTATACACAAATAAACAGGTCACTGGTGGGAAATCATCTGGCAACCACTTACGGTCAACAGCCCCAGCAGATGCAGCTGAGCCCATGCCACGGTTCTGGATTTGATAGACTGGCTGGGTTGGACGCTGGCCTTCCCTCTCCAGCTTTGCAACTCCAGGGCCAGAGGTTGGCGGTGCAGCATCAGAGGCAGCAGCAGACTTTCCCCCTTCCTCTCTGGGTTTCATGAGCATGATGGGCTTCTCCAGTGGAGTGCCACTGACCGGAGCACTCTGCTTTGACTGAAAGGGCAAAGATATGTACACAACATTGTCACAAGACCCCTCACGTTGAACTGGTACAATTAAATCTTCCAACTGGGAGTTCTGGGCGGTAATAATATTTAGTGTGAGGTAGCTTTTACAGGCATGCAACTCTTCAGACGTCTGGTTCCCATCACTGCCACCAAAAACAATCCGGATTCCAGAGGGGAGCGTTTCCCTTCAAACTACTCCGAATGGCTTCTTTCACATCTTAATAATTTTATTATGCAAAATACTGAAATACTTGTGGAATTCCTGGAATTTCACCACTACATTTCACTGCAATAAACACTCTAACAGCTTTTGTTCACATTTGTTACTGATATAATGTCAACAGATGAACACATTCAGACAGCAAATTGACAAAAAACACCAGTTTAGTGAAACATAAAGAAAGGATTCACTGTCGCAGGCTCACAGGATTAGACTACTTCTTACCTTTCTCAGCTGACATTTAGAACTTTTTTGTGTTTCTTTAACAAAGTACAGTATTTCCCAATGCACTGCATGACACTAACCTATACACATATGGTCACCAATTCTACTCTGGTTACCTGCAGAGTTTAGTTCTAACCTGCATCTACCATGCTGAACTGAATTCTGAAGAAGTCAAGTAGCTGGGGTGGGACTAGCAGATTGTGAATGGACCCCAGATCTCCAGGACCAGGGTTGATGACCATTGGTGTACACACTACTAAGACAGGGTAAGTTTGCCAAAGATTGCCAATAATGGGTTTCTGTTGAAGATTAATTAGATTAATCGCATCCAGACATCAATAAAAACGCAGGCACACATGGACAAATCAGCAACTCCAGCATACATGTATATCTGACTAATACAGAAACAACATTTATTCAGGCTCACCCTCTCTCCAGGAGGCTTGGCTAGAATTATGGGGGTCTTCTGAAGGAGTGGACCAGGGGGATCTTCGCTCCCATCCTATGAACAGGAGACACAAATGACAACACAGTCCAGTCAGTACACCGTGTCATTGAAATCGATAAAGTAGTTTAAGATTCAAAATAACACTTACAACGACCAGCCACTTAATTAAAACCATCTCCTTCATTCTACACTCAATGTTCATTTTATCAGCTCCACTTACTATATAGGTGCACTTTGTAGTTCTACAATTACAGACTGTAGTCCATCTGTTTCTGTGCTTACTTTGTTAGCCTGCTTTCACCTTGTTCCTCAATGGTCAGGACCACTACAGCAGTGTAGGTCTGCTGCTGGTATGAGTGGATCAGACACAGCAGTGCTGCTGGAGTTTTAAGCCTCACCTCAGTGTCACTGCTGGACTGAGAATAGTATAGTAAAATATCCAGCCAACGGGGTCCTGTGACCACTGATGTAGGACTAGAGAATGAGCAGCAATAGATGAACCATCATTTCTGACATCTGCTAGGTGGACAAACAAGGTAGGAGTGTCTAATAAAGCAGACAGCGAGTGGACAGTGTTTTAAAAACTACAGCAGCACTGCTTTGTCTGATCCACTCATACCAGCGCAACACACACTCACACACCATCACGTCAGTGTGACTGCAATGCTGAGAATGATCCACCATCCAAACAATACATGCTCTGTGGTGGTCCTGGCCATTGAAGAACAGGTTGGAAGGGGGGATCACAAATTAAACAGATGGACTACAGTCTGTAATTATAGGCAATGAGTGCAGAAACAAAGAGGTGGTTTTAATGAAGTGGCCGGTCGATGTATATTGCAAAGCAACAGTCACACGTGAAGAGGTAACAGAGACTCTCACAGGACATAGCAGTGAGTGCAAATATATGAAAATGTGCAATAAACACAATAACACAAAGTAATCACTAAGTGAAGACGTCCAAAACGTTATGACACCTGTTGACACTTAATAACAAACACTACAAAGTCATTAAGCAACCAGTGAACACAAAGGTGAGGTGTGTGGATGGCTAAAGAGTGTAGAAGAGGCAAATATCTAGGAATATAACGAAAAAGAGAAGAGAAATGTGTCCCAACGGAGAGAGCGAGAATGACAGCGAGAATCGAGAAATTTACCCGCCGCTCCCGAGGGCCAAAGTCTCTGTCGCGACTCGGGCCGGACAGGTTTTGGCCTGGCGGCCCGGGCTCTCTGTCCCTCCGGCGCCTTCTCCTCCGGCCCTGTCCGTACATTCCAGGCTGGCTGTGACCAGACTCTGACATACTTGCTTATTTAACTGACCTAAGTGTAACAGTGTCTAAGACTAAGACGCGGAAACAGAGAATAACGACGAGACAGACGGCTAGCTGAGTTAGCTCGCTTTAGATAGCTACTCGCCGTTACACGAACACATAACAAGCTACAACTGCAAGCACGTTGTCATAATCCTGGGTTCAGTATTCTGATTTACAACCGACATTTATGTGAAAAAGACGAACAAAAACTGTAAAAGGCCACGGAGAATCGGCGACGTTCATTAGCACGTTTAGCCCGACCGTGCTAACGTTGCCTAGCTACGTGTCCCTGATCCGGTGGAACACGAAGAACCATTATTTTAGGTTCCTACAATCTTCGTTAAACGGGTCAGCATATTTACAGCGAGGGAAAATTAGTATCTTGTTTTTATTATTTAACACACTTCTAGTGCATATATCTAGTTCAGACGTGCACACATAATGTCTTTTGACTTTGTAACATGAACAAAACATAAAGAAGCATTAACAAATATATGTTTACATAGACGTGTATGTAAAATACACACACAGCCACTTAGACAAATTACATTTTAGTACTATTTACCCCACAAAAATGGAACCGCTGGCAATAATTCAGCTCATAATGTTTGAATATCGTAAAGTTTTTATAATGATTGTGCGTAAAAACATCCACAGTGAAGTATAGAGGTGGCAGCATCATGGCTGTTTCTCTGCAAACTGTACTGGGGTGTTACATATCAAGCATGAATGGAGTGAGGTACCGGCACATATTAGAGGAGAATTTAATCTGCAAAGTAACTGAATCGGGGGAGATTAAAAATATTTCAATAAGACAGCGACCCCTAACATACAGCCAAGACTGATTTCTAGAAAAGAAGGTTACGGTGCTGGTTTGGTCTGGCCAGTCTCTCATTAAATACCATTAAAAATATGAAGGATTTTGACATTGATGGCCCATCAGTGAGACCCAGAATTGAAGACTGTTTGCCAAGGGGAGTGGGTCAAAACTGAACCAAAATTGATTTGTCATAATATTGATTTTGTAGGCATGTGAAAGGTCATAATGTTAGGATAGATTGCTAACATTAGCATGGTGGCAAATTCATTGTTACCACTTGCAACCTGCCTAGTTGATTTACAATAGCATAGTTCCGAAAATCACAAATAGTTTTTGTTGTTGTTTGTTTTTTTTTAATTTTCATACTTTGTTTATTATTGTTATCCAATTTTCCTAAACACGTGAAATCAGACACCACAACTGCTGCTAAAGCAACTTTACTGGACAGCTCGACACTGAGGAGAACCACAACTCCTTATTTGGTTACATCAGCTAACAGATGTGCACATTGGCTAACATCACGCCAATGTTGGGATGGGATGTTTTGAGGAGAAATCCTACTCTCTTGGATTCAATGCCATGAATGGGGGATCTGGGGATCAAACTTATAATTTTAATGAAAGTGTTAAATTCTTGAAATGCTAAGCGGAAAATTGGCCCATCAGGAACTGGTTTTCTCTGTGGTCCCTAGGTAGATATAGATAAGTAAGTTGTGCTTCCTGATTTCCAGTAAGTGGGACCAATTTTGTTAGAAAAAACGTCACTTTAGGCCTGGAAGTCATAGATACATCACTGACTGAATACGACCAGCAGTCTAATCTGTGGCCTGTTAAAAAAGGAAAACAGCGGCGACAGCTATATACTAGATTTCTCTCCTGAAAGAATCACTGTGAAACTTCTACAAGGTCAAATATGTGCTAAAATGTCTGTCACAAGCTTTAGAATGCCTTTCAGAAGCTTCAAATGTCTGTGTTTAATCTAGAATGACCATAAAAAGTTCATGCTAATCACCATTAGCTTTAGCACTTGCAAGGTAATCAAATCTTATATGAAGCCACATGAATGCACATGTTGGGGAATGAGTTCTAGATGGAGTTGGTGGTTCTAGTCGGAGAATACCACCGCCTCACTTGCACATGAAAGCAGCAAAAGCCCCCCTTCATTGTCAAAATGTGCAGTAGCCAGAATTAACATTATTGGAGTCAAACACTACAAACTGTTTATGTGATTTTGATCAGATTTTAACAGTGATCTCAAAAGTGTTTTGGAAACGTTAATGTGGCTTTCAGTTTGGGGTCTGTATGTCTCTCCTCATTCAAACAGAGTCTTGTTTGACTGAAAATCAACCTAGGGGCTTTGCTAAGATGGCCGCCATTAGGGCTGAGTTTCCTATAAGGACAGCATGGCTGATCATCAGCAAAAACAGGATATGTTACGTTTTGGATGCTGGTATGCTTGTCAGCGGCAATGGAAGTTAATATGCTGGTCACCAGCAAAACCAGCACATGTTGTGCTTTAGATGCTGGTATGCTGGTCAACCAGCATGATCACGCTAGGTGACCAGCTAAACCAGCACCAGACCAGCATGAACCAGCTAAAACCAACTTAGACCAAAATGGAATTCATGCTGGTCTGTGCTGTTTATTTAAACAGGGATGGCTCAGTTAGCTACTGTTGCCAACTGTGTATTGGTTAATACACCATCATACCCTACATATTCACATATTCACAAATATGCTTGAACTTTTTAGTAAATGAACACTGTACATAACAACAATAAAGGGGAAAGCAAAAACGATAGAGTGAATGACATTGAGGGGTGGGGGTTGGATGGCGTCACTTGTTCTAGGTGTCTATTTCACCACATCACATTCTTCACCTTCACTCTCAGCCCACCTGAATAAAGTCAGCTCACCCTCCTGGCTCTCCTCAGTCTGAGCTGAAATCAAGATGATCCAGTCCACCCTCCTCATCCTCATGAGTGCACTTTTCTGCAAAGGTATTTGTAGCACGCTTTCTTTATTAAACTACAGCAAAGAAATTAATTCTTAGTTATTTTGGTTGACTTCGTTGGGTTGTGTTTTAACATGTACTCATTTTTGCTCTGAGTTACGTTGAAATGGTTTCATGAATTAAGTTAAATATCTTAAAAATAAATTCTTTGCAAAAAATTGTAAATTGTTGTAGTAGTAGTAGCAGTAGTAGCGGTAATAGTAGTAGTATTAATGATGTCAGAAACTCTTTACCTATATATGGGAATTTTTAGGTCCCAGCAGTGGACCTTTGGATAAAAACTCACTTTTTTAGCATTACACCTAGAAAAAGTCTTCAGTGTGTCATAACACATTTTTATATATCGCTGCTGTCGGAAAACCTCGTATCTCCATTTTTGTTGTTTTTCAGTTTTTGACATAATTTGAAAATACCTATTGGCCTTTATATTGTGTGTAAATTTCATTAGGAATGGACCAAAAAAAACTGGCCCAAAATGACTTGGAAAGATGTCTGGTTCCATTGACTTACATTAAAAGTAAAGTAGGTTTTTTTCTTTTTCCTTTAAAGTCATCATTTTGTAGATACAAGGTTTTCTTCCGACAACAAAAGGTTGCTAAATGTACTGAGCTGATGTCATTTATGAGGTATATATTGGGTCAAAAATCTCTGTGATGCAAAAAAAATAAGTGGTTGAAAAACAACAAGACATTTTTTCAATTTAAACTGCAGTGTATAAATGCTAAATCAAACTACATATTGAAAATACATGCTGTTACTGGTCAATCAATTTCTGTTTTCTATAAATATGTCTGTACCACAATTATTACTACATTCCAAAGTAACTAAATGAGTTGCACAAAAACCGTAAGTCCCATTTAGATGTTCTTTAGCTTAAGTCTAGCAACCACTGTGCTGTAAAGCACCTTTACAATACACTTAAAAGGCCTTTACTTGGATTTTACAGAGGCGACACCCTCAACACTTGGAAATTAAAAAAAAATATATTGTAAAATTATGTTTTCGTTTAGTTAGCTGACAAGCTAAACATCTCCACAGCACCAGTCATCAAACTATTAGGTAAGTCGTAGAACAAATAATATGATGTCAATTCTTTTTTTAACTCTATGTTTGATTTCAGTGCTTTCCCTGACCTGCTACCAATGTATCCCTGAGACTTCAGTGAAATGTACTGAACGAAAAGTGGAATGTCCAGCTGGTCAGTGTGGCAACATGAAAACCACAGCCTATGTGGGTAAGGCCAGGCAGTGCACCTTTATACTCAGTAGAACTGCTCTTAGTCTTCTCACCTTTTCAGTTGGAGTCCTTTAACCTTTTTTGTGCATTTATTCACTGTAGGCAGCACCGTACTGGTTGATATGGTAATGAAAAACTGCTCATTCACTCAGCAGTGTGTGACGGCATCAGTTAACTTTGGGGTGACCAAGACGATAATTAGCAATCAGTGCTGTAGCACTGACCTCTGCAACTCCCAGAGACAGCCAGGTACACTTAGCTGCTGATGACACAGGTTTTATTGTTGAACTGATTGCTTGGAGCAGTTCATTTACATGTGGAATAATGTCATAGATGTAATGGGCAACATTCCAAATGGCCTTCAGTGTTACACCTGCAACGGGGAGGACTGTACATCAATCTTGGACTGTGTCGATGAAGAAGACCACTGCATCAAATCGACAGGTAGGAGAATCTCTGAGAACGCAAAAGTATCGGACATTTCTGTCCAACGGATTTGTCGGACTTTACCAAAAAACTTTTCAAAAGCTTAGAATTATTGTGCAAAATCTTGGAATCGTTGCATATTCATGGACAAAATGACTCTAATTTGTTGCTAGTATGGAGTTCTGAAGTCATGCAGCGTTCTGCAGTTGGTGCCATGCTCATGTTAGGAACTCCACGACTAAGTTTTTGTTCTCTGGGGGAAAAATTAATTGCCGCTATCTCACCCTAGTTTCCACAGATTTACGAGGTTGTTTACTGCACCACTCATGCACACTGAAAAGGCATAATCTGAAAGGTGAAAGTAAGGCTCAATCCCATTTCACCCTTTCACCTACCACTTAGCCCTTTCATAGACACCCTCCAAACGGAGTGTATTGAGAAAAAAATAAGAAAAAGCAGCGAGATGGCTCCCCAAGCAAGGTGACAAGTAGAAATGGGATTGGGCCTAAGTCTATTTTAACCCTTAACACTATTATATAACACCGGTGACTCAATCTGTAGCTTACTACTGCCAAAGCAACTTAACTACCACATTTAACAAAGCTAGTTGTTTTGTGTGGGATATATCTTATCATGTAAGTTCAGTTCAGCAGTGTTAGCCTACATGTAGCAATGTTCATATTTCAACTCATTAAAACCTTGTAACTCAAAGGATCCTGTGACGTTCGGAAGAAAAATGCATGCTTGGCTTTGAAACATTTTGGTTTACCACAAGACATGATGGTGGCAGTTTTTCGAAAAAGATTTGCCCAGTTCCTAAGATGAGCATGCCGATGACTACAGAACGCCAACATGACTTCAGAGGCCTTTTGGCCAACCTTATGTGCCTCAAATAATTAGTAAGACACTGTAAAATCAATTAAGATTGTTTATAGACGGATGCACTCTAATTAATTCTATGACTGAGAAAGCTGTCTAACATCAAGAATGATGTTACAATGAAGTTAATATCTAAAATGTCTCATATTTGAAAAACAGGAACCGAATCTTAAGGTAGACTACAAGAACGTACTGTTAAGGTAACTACAGTGTCAGTGTCAAAGCTTGAAATACTGAATACAGCATGTGAAAGTAATTTTACTGTCTAGTTTCCAATGTTTCAGTTGTGTAGACCAGAAAAAGGTAGACAGTAAATAACGTTGACCACATGTATAACTAATGACAGCTTGCACACCAAGTGCGATTTTTCAAATGGCGAAAAAACAGCATCATTTCCTTCACCCTCTGTTTGATTTTTGCGAATTTTTCTGATGACCTTAACTCACTGACCAATCACAGTCGTCTCTGGTGTTGGCATGACGACAACTAAAATGACAGTTTAGCTGTGTCCCAACAACTCCTCAAATATCAAAAGGATCAGAAACTCAGAAAGCAGCGAACTGGGCTCAAACTAGGCTACAATCTTCGAGTTATATGTGGTAGAACTCAAACTTTCACTTTTCCAAAATAGAGAGTGGCTCAGTGTCACCATTTGCTCGTTCTGTTGTGACCAAAGAATCTGAAGATAATTAACATGTCATTTTCTAGTTTTTGTAATTCATGCACCAGGACACGTAAGCTGTAAAGAAAATATTTCAAATTTTACTTCATGTAAATCACATGCAGCAGACACAGTCTTCTGGTCGTAGATGGGGATCACAAGAACTTTTTCTCCAGGTTAGAGCTAACTGCTCCAGGGTAAAACCTAGTGACTTTAGTTCATTTTTTACTGCACAGAGTCTCACTGAAGCAAGTTGAAGTTCCAAAGCATGTCAGCATTGATTTTCAGTTCCATGTACTCTAAACGGTAAAGCTAGTCACATGGTAAAGCTAGCATTGCAGTGCGCAGCAGAGAGAACGAACAGACAGCTTCATAAGAAACTTCTCTATGGGGGCAGTTGTGGGCTGGAGGCTAGGAAACCAGCCCTGTGACCAGAAGGGTGCCAGTTCGATCCCCTTAGCCGACAGTATGTGACTGAAGTGCCTTTGAGCAAGGCACCCAACCCCTAACTGCTCCCCGGGCGCTGTGGATAGGGCTGCCCACCACTCTGTGCTAGTGTGCTCACTGCCCCCTAGTGTGTGTGTGTGTTCACTAGTGTTTATGTGGTGTTTCACTGCATGGATGGGTTGAAATGCAGAGGTGAAATTTTCCCATTGTGGGACAAATAAGGGTCACTTAGTCTTAATCTTAAACTCTTTCTCAGACAGAAAAAAAATAATACTAGGACACTTCTTAAACTTCGCACACTTCTTAAATGTGAACCTCAATTTCTCAAAACATTTACAAGCTGTTTAATGGTAAATTAGTCCTCTCTAATTTTATTATAGTTCTTTTCCCACAATGGCAATTATCACTTTTTACACATTGCCATCTGTTACTTGTCAATCATTGAATATCTGATTACATCACCCTACTGCCCAGGCCTAGATCCCATTCAACCCAAGATCTGAGCTCTGCCTTGTCTGAAGCTGCGTCTCTAAAATTAGCTCATATTCGGAAAGTTTTAGTTTTCGGAAAGTTTTAGAAACGAGGTGGAGAAACTCTCTGTTCTCCTTTTGCTTTTCCAAAGTGGAAAACATTCAGCACAAAAGTCATAGTTTGTCCATAGTTTGCTCATTTTTTTCACAGCACAAATAACACTTTGAAATTACCCAAAAAATGTTTTGATGCAAAAAAAATCGAGGATGAATATTTTGCATTTTTACATCGTTTTATGTTGCATTAGGTGTATAACAGCCTGTAATGCTCTCAATTTGACTGGTGCAGGGCTTGCTAATTTGCTAATGAGTTGAATTAGGTATGTTTAACGAGGCAGATCACTGAAGTCTGCAGAGCTGTAGCTCACCAGGACTGGAGTCCAACACGTGTGGCTAGCTAAGTTAACTCGATTAGTTAGCCATTTAGCATTACATAAACAAATATGAAGCTAGTTTTGCTTTGCGCAATTTAGGTCAACAGTTTTTAACGTTAACTTTTTAAATTCTGCTTTTTCTTGCAGTAGGTGCTGACGGAAAGATGATGATGATGAGAGGATGCGCCACTAGGAGTTTCTGCATGGGTGATCTGTCCGCTCACCTGGCCCAGTCAAACACTGTGGTTGGGCTTACCTGTTGTGAGGGGAACTTGTGTAACGGTGTCAAGAGAAATACACAGAATTTCCTCCTTCTGGGGCTTCTGCTTACATCCATTATTCCCCAATGAAAACTGCACCAGTCAAGCTTTCCAACGTGACTCGTAGCACACTGTAAGTTCTAAAGCTCAAAGAAATGTTTCGGGGAAAAAATATTTGGGAATACCTTGAAGTCGAAGCCTCAAATTCAGAGGATTACAGAATCCTGGACATGCATCCTCTCAGTAATGTATACAGCTTCTTGTACACCGAGTTGCCAGTTTATTATGTAAATTGAAGATGAAAGCAAGGTGCAACCTACTCATTTGGGTTTTTCTTAGTAATTAAAGTTTAATTAAAATAATAAAAGTTTTTGAGCAAGATTAATATTTTTTATACAAGCAGACCACACATCTGCCACAAATGAACTCTATTTCAAGCACCTGTTTATGAACAACGTATTCATAAGTGGCAGGTGTGCAAACATTACAACCCCGTAGATGGGGTTAACTGTTTCAGACGGATCAATGAAAACAATTAATTCAATAAAGACAGATGCTGATAAACTTTCCAACTTAAATAAACAAAAAGAACATAAGTATGATTAGTTAAAAGAGACACATTTAGTTTTGACCACAAAGCAGAAGAGTTAATAGCATAATCTAATATGGTAATGGGAGAATATGAACTTCTCTCGTTGTTTACTGTAGGAGGTTTAGCTATAACACCATTAAAACCAGGGCTGGGATGTAACGGAATACAAGTATGGGAAAACATATTCAGAATACAGAAAGTTACATTTTGTAAAGGCATTATTCGAAATACAGTTACGTTTAACATTTTTAGGAGAATACTTTTAGAATGCCTACCCATTATATTCAAAATATATACCATCTTTAAGAGAAACATCTTTAATTCTCGTTTATTTACCATTTTAAAATCCACACAAGGTGTGTGAAGACATACTCGAAAAAAAAGAACAACTTCCTTACTAACATTGACATTCCTAAAGCCTGAGTACACTGATAAACCAATGTGATAAGGCAGTGCTTAGGTTATGAGACAGCAGACTGAAGCAGGTGATGAGAGCCAAAGTAATGCTGAGAATTTCATTTAATTAAGCGCATTTTTTTTAATGAAACACATTAACTGAAGAATTACATGAAGAAACCTCCCCCTGAGTAACAGTGACAATTAGGAGGGATTCTCCATGTGCCTGATCAATATATATATATATTCTAAATGTATTCTGAATATGTTACTTCTTTGTGTATTGTAATGGAATACATTACTGAATACGTTTAGGACAGTGTATTCAGTATTCAGCCATCACTACTTTTTCAAAGCATTCGGCACAAACTTGGTTAAAACTAACTCCGCCATGTGGAGGCTGCACTTTAGCCTGGCTAGCTCTTGCTGTAAGTTACTTCAAAAATGTCATGCTAATAACTACGAGCTGTGGTTTAAATTAGTGTTTTAAGCAGTGTAACAAACTTGTGAATACCAAACTGATTATCTTACACCAGTCCATCTTACACCAGTCACTCCAGAGGTGGGGGGTTGGGGGCGGTCTCCATTTTTCATATCCTGAAAAGGTAAACTTTTTAACTGATTCACAGGTCGATTCTCACAATATCTTTCATCTGTGTAAACTTTGGGCCTCCACATCACAGGGGTTGAATACTGCAATCACCATTTTTCAGTTACAGAATATGTGCTTATGTAAACCCAGTATCACTTTAATTAATTTTGCCTAGTAAACTGGCAACTCTGAGTACATTTTTAGTTCAATGTACTGAAAAGGCAACAGCCCTATCTATACCTATGTTTTGTGTGCAGTTTTAGTTTCACTGTATTTGCTTTCTGATTTTTCACTATACTTGCAATATACTTTCTTCAGCTAAGAATAGTCTAATCAGCTCAAATCATCTCAGTAAATATATAATAAAAAATCCATAAAAAAATATATAATAAGTAACCAAGAGATGCATTTATCCATTTAAATAGTTATTAACTTAAAGACACACTTACTTGGTTATATGTTACTTTGTGTCTAAACATACATTGTATTTGAAGTATGGAATAAATCAGAGCAACTTCTGTAAGAAAAGGACCTCTGTTGTAAGTTGTGCCTTAATCATATTTACTGCATTCCTACAGTGAACATGCCTCTGGTTCTCAGGTTTATTGGAATGTCTCCCCCGAAACCGATTTGTAACAGTGTAAATATGTTAACCAAGATTTCCTTTTCAGGGAGGGAAAGATTTAAGTTTCCAAATTGGGGTCAAGTTTCAAGGTGTTCTGCTGCTCTATTGTCCTGCAGATGCTTCACACCTTGGGGTCCACAGGCTTTTCCTGGACAAAAAGAATGAAATATCAGGGTTGGCTAACCCTGGAAACCTGAATGACCCACTTTTGACGGGGTCTAGTATCGCTAGGGCTAGTATTTCCAGAGCAAGAGAAAGTGATATGATCACTATGGGGCAGATATTCCATTCTATAGTTGTAGTTTTCTGCTTTATAGCTTAGATCTAAAATCCCCCTTCTGTAAATCTGCAGTCAGCCTCTACATTTAAGTGTCCCTATTGCACTTGAGCTTGGAAAGGAAACTCTGTGGTGTTGTTGCAGGACACTTAAGGACACTTAAGTCAAATTAACTCATTTTCCCCCTTAACTGGGCCCAACCATAGCCTTTTGGGAGCCCCCATCTTGCTAGCTGATGTACTGTAAAATTAAAAGTTGCCTAATAGCAACGGCTACCCAAAGATGCTTAAATTTATTAGAATAAACTGGCTAATTTAGTGTATCGCTGATGATCAGATGCTCATTTAAGGTTCTAGTATATAACCATTTAAATAACAGATAACCTTCTCAGCATTCTCGATCCACAGATCTGTCTCTCCATGTAGTATTTCTTGCTTAGCCAGCTAACTTTAAGCTTAGTTAGATGTAACTCTGGTTGCTGAGGTGACAGCACTGCTTTTTTACCAGTATGAATACATGCCAATGCATTACACACTGATGAATACTTGGAGCAAAGTGCAATTAAATGAGAGGTTAATCTAATTAATCTAGGCTAGTTAAAGTTTACCTAACGAAATTCAGAGTAAACAGAACTTAAATACGTAGAGTAGCATCAGCTCAATGTAAACTATATAAAATGATTGGTCTGTTTAGGTTTGTCAGTTTAAGAACTTTGGATCACTGAAAAATAGACAGCACATATAAATGATGTAAACTTGAACCTGCTAAGTAATTAGGATTAAGGATTAATCACAGTCTGAGTATCAGAACCTGGATTAATTACAGTCTGAGCATCTAAACCTGGATTAATCAAAACCTGGATTAATCACAGTCCAAGCATCTAAACCTAGATTAATCATAGCCTGAATATCTAACCTGGCTTAAGCACAGCCTGAGTAACTAAAACTGGATTAATCACAATCTGAGTATCTTAACCTGGATTAATCAAAACCTGGGTATCAGCCCTAGTATCTAAACCTGAATTAATCACAGTCTGTGCATCTAAACCTGGATTAATTATAGTCTGAATATATAAACCTGGATTAATCACAGCCCTAAAGCTGGATTCCTTATAGGATGAGTCTCTAAACATGTATTAATTACAACATGGCTATCAGCCTGAATATCTAAACCTGGATTAATCACAGCCTGAGTATCTTAAACTGAATTAATCAGAGCCTGACCATTTAAATTTGGATTAATCATAGCAGGAGTATCTAGAGCTGGATTCCTTATAGAATGAGTCTCTAAACCTGAATTAATCACAACCTTGGTATCAGCCTGAAAACTTAAACCTGTACCATAATGGTACTTAAACCTATAACATAATGGTACAGTAGTAACCCAGAAGCTGTTTAGGGGTCCCCTGGTGGCTGCAGAGTCCTAAGCAGCAACTTTTATTGCTTAATAGGTAGAGCCGGCAGCGCCCTTCCTTCAAATGTAGTCAATCAGCTAAGACAGGTTCAGTGTCTAAAGTTTGCTTGTTTCTATGATAATCAAATGTGATTAATCAAAATATTTGTCTGAAGTTAACTGCTTTTATTTCCTCAAATTTTATCCTAAAAAAGTTTTTTTCATTTAAAAAGCAGTTTATGTTGTTACAGCTATATGAGTGGACAAAATAAGCTTCACCAGAATGTATTTATCACTTTCAGTAATTCAACAACATTCATTTCATCGTGTGATTGCAGTTTTAACATAAACCTCAACATGAAAATAATCTGATCAGTTCATCATTTGATAAGTTATTGATGAGTCAACTTTCACAGCACTAATTATTTGCTTTTGCACTGAAGCTACAAGGCTAATGTAGCTACCGATCAATGGAAAATCTTACAAACTGCTGCCTAAATCATCACCCACTCATGGTCAAAATGGAAGATAAGTTGACCTGGACTTGACTATGACTTCATGGATTTCTGTTCAGTGAGGTGTCGAGCTGTAAACTAAAGAGCCTTAAAACAGAACTATCATTTATTATTTAGTTTCACCTCATTTTTATTGAAGAAGGAAAACAAATTATTAGTCTATAAGCCTCTCATCTTGTTCAAATTGTCTCTTTATTTGTGTAGTTTTAGCAAATCCACCATGATTTAACTTGGACTCAACTTCAGTAGCTTTTGATGGACCTTTGGGCTTGTCTTGGTCTTGAGGGTTCTCAAGTTTGGATGGTCTATTAGAGTTTCCCTGTTGGTTATTTCTTCAGACCCTGGGCTTCGCTGTGTCGTTAATGCCTTGTGGTTGGTTGAGGAGATATATTACTGTTCTTGATGTAAGCTGAAGATATCGTGTCTCTTGGCTCCTTGGTGAAGATGCTGTCTGTTTGATGGTCTTTGAGTTTAGGGCCATGCTGTTACTGCTCCCTGGTCCCACTTCCAAAACGCCAGGTTATTCTTCTCTCCAGCTCCACTGTGAACAACAGCAAATGAGAAGTAACTGGGATTCATTCAGTCCAGTGTTTCTAGTGATCTTCAGTAAATGTATTAGAGCTGGAAGGTAAAGTTCTACCTGTGCACACAGAAAAGCAGGTAAGCTGTTTTTGCCCTGCGGTTGGTTTTGATTGTCTGGCCAGCTTTGATTGTCTGGCCAGCTGTGAATGACCTGAAGAAAACAAAAGGAAAGAAAAAAGTTCACTACTGAGAAAACCACTAGTTGTTGTTGGCTGTAAAGAGGAAAAACTGTGAGGCAGCCAAAAGTAACTTCCAGCTTCCTGTTTAGAAAAAGCAAAGCTTTCCAGTTTCTTACAACATTAAAACAGCTCCCTGATCTTGAAAGTATCAGCATCTTGACTACAAGTG